AATTGCACCGAGCCCAGCTCGAAAGAAGTCATCTTGGGTCCGCTTTCCATTCACTGTCATAATGTCAATCACACGAGGATCTTCTATTGATAAAATGGTTGGCAAGGGGACTTTTTTAGCCGTTTTCGCGAATTCGACGGTGCTCTCATAATTGAGGTATGACAAGACCCTTGTTACCGCATCAGGTACTTTCTTGACTGGTAAAGTAGGTGCAGCTGGTCCTGATGATTTTTGCGAGAAGACAGAAGAATGAAGGAGTGTGTGTAAGATCTGAAAAGCTGATTCAATCTCGTCCTTGTGGTTGATCAATGTATTCTCATCGACTTTGTGTATATTTTTAATCGCGGACAGGGCTCCCAGAATCTCCTGGAGGGACTCCATTGTAGACGATGTGAGCTGCAAGATAGAGAAGAAGAGAGTAGAGTTGAAAACCCATAAAATGTGATGAAGGGGTCTGAAGACAGGCACTTAGCTTCAGGCTCTTACACACCTAGCTAATTGCATACAATTAGCTAGACAGGGATAGTGCCGCCGGTGGCGCTGGCTGTGCTTGTTTTGAGCTGTATACGCCCGAAATAACAATGGGAATATAACAATCTGAGAACCTGTGATGAGTAGAGATGAATTCAGATATGAACTGGGTTGAAAAAGAGTAGGTCTTTCGAAGTCAATTGGCATATTGAAAGACGAAAAGGTATGATTACGGTCCATCCTCAAAGAACAAAACTGACTGCTCCATGACATTTAGGAGATAAGAATGTCCTCAAAAATTCTGAATTTCTTGAAGAAGATCTTTCATGTAAAAAAAGATGACAACCGTCTATCCATCATGTCTTCCTCAATGGTGAATGCCATCCAAGACCCATTGCTTGTTAGGAAGCTTGCTACAAGTGACACTTTCGGACCGGAGGCTTTCAGTCATCTGTGCTCCATTACAACATACCATGGAATCAGGTATAGGGAGGCAGATGAACCATCCTTGGTGATAGTGGGCGACTATGGTGCCACGATCGGACTCAAGTTTACGCTTTGGCCACGCTCATTCTTTAATACCTGCGCCTTGCCTCGAAGCCTGCTAACTCACCTGGTTCCCAAAGATGAGCAAGATCACCTGGAGGTAAAGTATGGCTTCAACTGGTCTAGTGTGTCAGTCGAGGCGAGGCTTATTTCAGTGCCTACGTGTAAGGCACACTGGACTATGACGCTCGCTGAGAATAGGAAGAGCGTCAATATCTCTCCTGAAAATCAGGAACTTCGACTCTATGACGACTTTTCATATATGAAGATTCACGCTCTGGTAACCTTTAAAGCTAAAGGATACTCTATACAACACTTATCTGCAAACGTGTGGTTTCCGGATCATTTAAAGCAAAATGACACTTGCCGTTGCGTTGATTGGATGTGAGTTACTCTTATTAATTAAAATATGCTCTTATTAATAGATGATAGCTACCTTAACTTTTGGAACTTTGGGAGGAATGGCTTTCTTGATCTCAGTGAAGGGCTTGGCGACGATCTTTTCACCTTCTTGCAGCAGAAACGTTATGAGGCAATCATCTCTGCTGCAAGCTAGCATATTTGATGTTTGGTTTGAGCTCTACATATAAAGCTGTCTTGTCCTGCTTTTCCAGATTTTGTGACTAAATTCTGTGGAATATAATTGCTCCTATGGCTGCATCTACAGGTATGCAAAAAAAAGTCAATTCAATAGCATTAAACTTATAAGATTCAACAGCAACTACTATCATTCACTGTTAGTTGGAAACAGGAGAATGAACAAATTGTTTATCTTGGCTTTAATCCATTTACTTGGAGGAATGTACCTTATTTGCCTATCCAGAAATTACACTAAAAGGCTCGTCTACCAATTGGAAGTAGAAGAGTCTTTTGACCTGAATAATTATTAAAATGTAGTATTCTATGCTACAAGGTACTGTCCTCCTTCTGTCGAAGTTAGCGCGGCTATCTATTAGCAGAGACATATTGAGGAGCCGGAGTCAGATGATTCTATCCCTTGGGTTTGCGTATTTATTAAATAGTTATACGCACAGTACCAGCGAAACATTACCAGCTCCAAAGTGGTCAGCTTTCTGATAGTACGGGGATGGGTTTTTGGTGACCTGAATCAATTGAAGTCGCTATGGGAATGCAAGACATAGCATCTTCTCAACATGACCGAGGTTTCTTGGACAGGTACTCTTGGGGGGAAACGGAGGCAGACCGGGCTCTTTTATGTACACGGGTGTACTGATTGTTTAATCCTGGTATTGCCTGGAGTTCTTCTTCCGAGATCCATGCAAGTCTGCAAACCAGAAATTCCTTCATACCATTTACTCCTTCTCTTGAGTGGAATACAGTATGAATGATAGTATTTGGAATGTATCGTAGAGGACTAAGCGTAATATAAGAAGCACTATAACTAAGTAAAATTTTAGGTAGACACTCAGTACCAAATTCTCAAAAAATCAAGTACCGACCATGTTGAATGGTAGTCAATCTTTATAGCTTGATACCATTTGCTATGTTGAATAGCGGACTTCGGTCGGGCCTTGAGCCTTAAGAAGGCTTGTCAGCGCGTAGATAAGGTTTCCTCCTGTAATTATAAAGCTTATTACCAACCACAGTCCAGCTTTTTTGTGGATCGTTGGTGACCCATTCGCCATTCAATCTGTAGTTGTAGCCTGTGTTATCCGAGGACGGGAAGAGTTTAACATCGCAGTATTGGATATTAGTCGTAGCAACTGTTGTCTTGGCGGCTGTTGTCTTGGCGGCTGTTGTCTTGGCGGCTGTTGTGTTGGCGGCTGTTGTCTTGGCGACTGTTGTCTTGGGGACTGGGTCGGTCGCAATTGGAGTCCTTTTTTCAACACCTTTGCCCTTGTCTCTCCCTTGAGTCGTGCTCGGAATAGATATGTTCCCTGAATTCACCTCAATCGTATGTGCTGGGCCAGGGGTCAATGGGTCATAATACTTCTGGATAGTGTTGTTCTCCCTTGCTAGCCTAATCGCAGCCCACAAAGCAAGATTCACCGTTAGCCCGTCAGCCCTCGCCCGCGCCCATGGAATAATTGCATATTCCATAGCATTGATGTCAGGAATAAAATCAGTGGGTTTGACTGAAGGATCATTGGTACTAGAGCTCACTTGACCGGTGCTCATACTCATACTAACTTCATCAATGCTCATTTCGCTGACACTACCCACTATATCCGAAGATATCGAAGAGATACGCTGACGTCTGGGAATTATTGAGCTGATCTCCGAAGTCACCGAAGGACTATTCTGGCTTGCCGGCTTTGCGAGACTGCGTAGCTTTCTTGGAGATGTTCGAATTGCTTCGGGCGCCAAAAATAGACGAATAACAACCAGAGCCTCATTAGAGATTATGAAGACAATCGATGTCTTGTTGATTGCGCCATAGTATTGAACTTGCTCAAATGGGTTCATAAGGGACATCTTATCCTTTGCGTTGAGTGTGCTGTTGGCCGGGCCCATCTGAAGCAGCTTGATTGCATCCTCATGAGACCAAAGGTATTTCGTATCCCCACAAACAAGAGCTTTCGTACGCTTTCTTTGGCCTGGAGGTTTGCTATCATCACCGGCACCCCAGTCTGGGAATATGTCCGTCGCTTCACATGTTCGAGAGCCGTCCGCAATAAACTGGCTTTTTGGCAGATTGGCCGACACGATAACCATATTCGTCGCAGCAAGCACATCGCTGAAACCGCGCTCCGAATATAGTGTACTCAGGTTTGCATCCTGATATTCGGGGACTGGACTTATAAAATCCCGCTCTTCAGCTAGTTCAGACGCATATCGCTCCACAATATTTTGGTGTGTAAAATCTGACCATGGGTAGATATTTTCCACAAAGCTCCAGGCGGCATTGTAGGTTGGGACTGAGCTTGTACCACGACAGTCCAAGATGACATTGGGCTGGGTCAAATGTTTATAAACAGTTTTCGACATTGTAAAGCTTTGAAAATATGGATGAATGTAGTCTTTCGTATGAACATAGAGAAGTACTGGGCAAGAAGGCCGCATTTATAGCTTAGTCTTATGTCTTGACGAAAGTGTTGCCAACCTATAGTAATGCCAGCAACAACCTCATCGAAATTTTTAGAGACAAGAGAGCTAAAGCCGGAATTATTTACTCTATGTCAAATCCTCTAATGTTTTATCCAAGCAGAAGAATCAAACTGCTCGCCATTGGAAGTCTCTAACGGATATAGAAAGCACAGAGAGACTAATCCCATTTTGCACAGTATAAAAAAGTTGAATTATCCCACAATAAACCGGAGATTTAACATATACTAGATAATATGATGTATATGAGCAATAGCAATTTTCAGGAATAGAGCACCCGGAGCTCTTCCCTCCTCTGATTGACGCCTACTTAGTCTTTGATGCTGATTTTGTAATGACCAAAGCTTTCTTACAGCACGGTGAAATGGCGACCTCTACATTCGATAAGAGACTACTTGTCACAGCATATCACATATCCCCAGGTGAGTAAGAATTATAGGATTGGAAAAGCCCTAAACTAATTTTTTATCCCATCAAATTCCTTCTTTGTGATGATTGGACCCCATTCTTCATTTGCAACAAGTCTAGCACAGATAAGAAGCCTTTGCTCGTCAATTTCCCAAGACCCAGGAAACAAAATAAGTAAAAAATTTTGTTCCATAATGATTTCATTCAGATTTTGCTCAAAGCATTCTACCCCACAGAATGCGATCGGGTCTACATGTTTTGTTTTTGGCGTGTAGGAGAACCAGGCAGATTGAAATTCCTGGAGAAGCCGAGACATGGTAATGTGCCATGCTGGAGTAGGACGTATAGCTTCTAAAAATGGAAAAATAGAAGCTAGTGATGGATGCGTCCATGCTGGAATCATCATTAGTGCGTAATCAATATTTAAGAACATTCATAGTTCAGAGAAAATATGCGATAACTTACTATCTGGCCGATGTCGAGTCTTTAGACAGATTAGTTCTAGTTCTATACCTTCAAGCTTTCGAGTACAGAATTCCACAACAGTTTCCTGGTTCAAATTCAGTGTTGCAGCAATATGAGCACGGAAGTCTGATTTTTTTGCCCTGCCAAATTGTTAGGTGTTTGCTTAGAACGGTGATTACTGCTGTACAGACCGATTGAGAATATCACCTAATACTTCAGTTTGTTCAATATGAATTAGTTCCATCAATGGCTTGAATCGTTTAGGAAAAGGCCACGGCGAATTGACAATATAGGAGTGAGAAAAATCGTAGAGAACAGAATCGTAATAATCATGAAGACGAAAATGCTCGTCACATATATCGCGGTGTAGTATCCCAATCTCATGCAACGCTGTAAGACGCCGAAGCCGATCAATAGCTAAAGAAGTAAACCACTTCTTTTCAAAACAGCTTAGAGATAGCTCAGTAATTTCTGCAACAAAACTGTCGAAGAGATGGAATTTCCGACCGGGGGATACTCCCAATATGCGCCGGGAACTTGGATTTGGCTTAATTCTTTCAAGCACTATTGCTCGAGGACGCAATGCGTAGTTTCTAGGATACTGCTCGCGTGTCAAATTGAGCACCCCAGAGTAGGTCGGAAAATATGAGAGTTTAGAAGGTGGACAGTTGTAAAGAATATGTTCGTAAGCTCGGCTTTCATTCAAGAAAGGATCTAGTTCTCTCTTCGACTCGAAATATTCTTTGTCAAAGAACTATCCTCAATTAGTAATACTATCAGAGCTAGGAAAGAGGGATTCTTTCCACGTACCGTTTTCGCCACGAGATTTGCTGATCTATTCACCTGCAACCTCAATACTATGATACTATGCAGCGCTGGCCTATCATCACGCATTGGTCGTCCCAATCTCCAAGGGTAGTTGCATCCGAATTGCTTGAAGTCTTCTGGATTGCGGACATGTTGCTCACTCAAATCAAGTATATGCGGCTCACAATTCTTGAAGAATTGCGACCGCACAGAATCCATGGCAAAGTGAAAGGGAATTATCTTGAGGCTGTTTGTGAACAGTCAATATAAGAGACAAGGGATAGAAATGAGATTTAAATTTTTCGCAACCAAATTGCTTGCTCTCTTAGGTGATACAGTGTCTGAACCAAGACCAGTCTTAACTCGTATATATGGACGCACGGAAGCAAAGAGCTATTCTTCTATAACTTAAGCTGGGTGCCGCGTCAGTCAATCGTTGTTTGCAGCGTCGGGACTACGCCGAATGTCGCGCGTTGTTGGCAGAGGTGGCATGTTTTAATCATGTAAGCAATAATAGAATGATCAACTAGCCTAGTTTGTCTATCATGTGACTCATGATTGAGATGGCATACTTGACACAAAACCACCTGCATCTCAAGTTCTATATAACTTCTAGCATAATTTTGTCAGGATAGGGGCGTATTCACTGATAATCACAATCATCAACAGAAAGTAAGTTAAGAGTAATGGTTGTCCTAATACCTAAATCTATTTCTCCTTCATTAGTTTAATTTTAGAACTACACAAAACATGTGTTTTAAATCCCACGTGACGCTTACATATTAGGCACCAACAACCCCGCAGCAGTCTTCCAACCTCTTGAACCCGACAAACCGTGAATTACTTCTTCATAATATTCTTTGAGCCTTTCAATTTATCGTTAATATGGCATACAGCGATTATGATCTCACGGGTTCTGCAAAGACTCTTGTTGAAGAGATCAGAGACATGATTCAAGAAAACCCTGTGATTGGCGATAGGAAGCCTGGTAGTGGCCATGAATTCTCTGGCAAGGAATTGTCTAGCAAGACCGCCCAGTTGGAGCAGGAGCTAAGCAATGAGAAATATGTTGTTAGTACTGCTAGTGAGATGTACAGTAATAGTCTAAACATGACTCAGGCTTCTAGATGCAAAGTCCTCCATCTCGACCATGGCGGAATCATCTACAATAGATCGGGTCATTTGCTCGTTATACCTTTGAACGGCTCTGCAGCTTTCGAGCGGACTACCTCTACACAAACGGACGAACCGTTACGGCCATGTCATTACCTCACGGAAACCAGGAAAATCCGGGGGGACGATATCGATGTTATCCTTGTGGCTCTGGAGGAGAGAGATTGATTCATAGTTGGGTCAGATAGTGCGGGTTGTTGAATGCTTAATGAAAAAATTATGACAATTAGATATAACATAGGAATCAATAAAGCCCATCAAGCGCTGCTTATCAGTCTTTGACTGATATATTTCTCCTTCAGAATAGCTGGAGGCAAAATGTCTGTGAAAGAGTCCCGGTGCAATAGTTAAGACCCCGGAGCTGGGATATTCTATGGATTCAAAGCATTTGCACAGGGGGTGTCGTCAATATTATGTAAGCTCGACAAGAATATTGGTTGCTCCTAAAGGTCGATACCGGTAGACGAATTAAGTAGGAAAACCCTAGACTCGTCATTACAATCGTCTCTCGTTCTCGTGAAAAATGATGGGCAGTTTAAATTATCGATCTCTGTGCTCGAAGGCCTGGCTTGGGGTACGGGAGGACGGTAGGTATCGTGCTGGCCACCTGACAAACCTGAGATTATGGTATGATCCCAAGTATCAATATTCAGGCGCGATGAAGCGGCAGGGTATATCGAAAGATCAGATACTTCGTGATTGAAACCTTGACTACTTGTGCGAGCTGTAGAATTGTCCCAAGTACTGATGGATTGGCTGGTTGAATCGATTGGATGTGTCGGAAATCTGCATGGAGCTGTGTCGTCGCTATCTCGAAGACTCTCTGAGATTGGTTCATCGTCCCAAATATTGATAAGGACGTCAGCAGAGGTGAGTTGGATCTGAGCTGAACTGAATGCGCCTTCCACATGACTCGGGGGTACTCCAAATAATGTGGGATGATTCCAGATGTCGATACAGAGTTCTTGATTGTGTGGCGACAAATCTACAGTCGGAACAGAGACTCCTTGCGCTATGCTTGCAAGCACATTATACTCCATGTTTGAGTCAAATGGATCCACGTTTGGAGCAGGGTTGACTGGCGGTGTCATCGCATTGGAATTCTCAACATTGTCGGAATCGGCATTCGTGATTTTGCGAGATTTACGGGAATCCGTATGAAGGTCGTCTGAGAGTGGACGCTTCGTGGGTGTGGGTTGAGCTGGTATCGAATGATTACCGGTGATTTCGGATATCTCCTCCAATGAAGGCGCTAGGGGACGGACAGAACTGGGTATAACGACCGGTTCTTCCACCATATCTTTCGTGCTGAGTGACTCGGAAGACATAGATAGCGAGTAATCAGTTGTCGCTGCTTCATCTGCGTTGAGCACCTGAGGAGAAGCCGGCGACGAGTGAGAAGTCGTTGCATCTTCATCCAAAACACTTAATTCGGGAGGAGATGTCGCCTCTTCATTCGGAGTAGTTGATTCGGAGAAAGACGTCACCCTTTCATTCGATGTAGACGCTTCAGACGCAATTAATTCGCACGTCTGCTTGGTGTAGCTTTCATAGCACTTGTCTCGCCATGCCTTTGTGCTTACCGCTAAGTTTTTCCAACATTCAGTGGATATCAGACTCTGCGCGACCAACTGTAAGGCTCTCGACGAACAGCGGATAAACCAGCTCCACGCAAAGAATGTTATCCAGACGTAAGCACATGGGAGCGAGCTTGGAACTTCTCCGTCCACAGAGGTTTCTCGAAGTTTATCCCTAATGACCTTCTCGAGAAATTTGAACTTGACACCGATCCCGATCAGTAGGGCAGCTTCCTTCTTGTCAACGAATTCAGCACATTCGTTAGCGTATGCTTGATAGGTTGCTCCTTTCTTCGTGTCAAGCAGCATCGCATCCAACTTTGAGTGATAACCGCCTTCATGTGAGAACTGGAGATAATCTTCTGCCAGGGAAGATACTGCTAATCCAGCCCTAAAGCGCATTTCCATTGTCTTTTTCGCACCGACTTGCTTACCATCTCGGACACGGAAGTCTTCCTTATTGTCATTGTCGATGATTGTAGCCACATCCTTTTTACTGAATTTCTCGATATTTTCTCTGTTTCTCAACAAGCTGTTCAGCAGGTTGTGTGCTGCTTTTTCATCCCGCTGTTTTTGAGCGGCTTCTTTGTGTTGTGCCTCCTCCTGAACACGAGCAAGTTCATCAGAACTCCGTATTAAAGCTTTGAACGATTTGTATAATCTCTTGATTTCCTTGCCATGAGTGAGAAAGGTAGCTGGATTCTCTTCCAAGAGGCTTTGAAGGGCTGAGATCCCCCGAGAGACCTCAACAATGGTCTCCATTGGGTGAGTCGTTTCCTGGGTTCAAGTTGACAGACTTCCTCGCATTATATGCAGCATGGCAGGCACCCCTGCAAAGGAAACTGAACTTCAGTCTCCGTTGCAGGGATCATTAGCAAGGCTCTGTCTTCGATGATTAGGCCTAGGCGCTGGTGGCGCTGACCAAGTTCTTGATAGGCTGAAAACGATCCCAAGATCCAGGCCTGTGACCAACCCAAATACTAGGTAGTTCCCGGTTCACATCAGAGCAGGCCCTCCGGTGTGTTATCTCTGTACGGTATCAAAACGGTATATAGGAGGACTTCCCAAGATCTGAAGTCAACATCGAATCAGACACTATGCTTGGATCTATAATACATCATCTTAGGGACATTTTCACTAAACATACTGAGGATCGTTTTTCAGTGATGTGTTCCTCAGTCACAACCATACGGGATATACCTCACGTGTATGGCCAAGAAGCGCTTGATCAGCTGTTGTACATCGACAAGTACCTAGGAATTGGCTATGGACCCAACGATGAACCGTACTTGAAACTCGTTGGTTGCTATGGTCAGCCGCCTGAACGCAGACGCACTCATTGGTCACGCTCGTTCTTTAACCAATGGAGTTTGCCCCGCAGCATGTTGAGCTATCTGGTGCCTGTCGATGAGCAAGAGTATATGGAGAAACGCTATGGTTTCAATTGGTCCCGGGTAACAGTCGAGGCGAGGCTCATTTCGATCCCTACATGCAGAGCCCATTGGACCATGACTCTCGCGGAGAAGGGAAGGAGTCTCAACATATCTTATGAGATTGGAGGACACCGATACTACGAGGATTCTATTTATCGGAACTTCAATGCTCTGGCTGTCTTTGAGGCTGATAATTGCTCAGTATACAAATTATCTGAACATGTGTGGATTCCGGAGCATACGAAGCAGACGGACACTTGTTCTTGTGTCGATTGGTTGTAAGTTACCTTCATTTGTTTGCGATGGATGCGACGTGCATCACTAATGGCTAGTAGCTTTCTCAACCTTTTTCGGTTCAGTGTAAATGGCTTCCTTAGTCTTGGTGATGGACGTGGCAAGGATCTTTTCAATTTCTTGCAGCAGAAACGATATGAAGTTGTCGGCTCTTCTGGAAGCTGGATCTGATGTCAATACTGCATAGTTTGATCATATATATCAAGCTGTTTCCTTGTCTTTTTCACATTGGAAACTACTTCTCTAGGACATACTTCTATCATGGCTGGATCCCTAGGCTTACAGAAGACTCACTTTAATACTCTTGAGCTCGTGAGATTCAGTACACAACTGCAATCCATTAGCATCAACAAGCAATGGGACGAAGAAAAAAAATGCTTTCTTTTCTCTTTATTATTTCACTTACAGGACTGTATCCTGTCTGCTTATCCAGAACCAAAGTCGAGCCGCCCGTGTATCATTTGGAAGCTAGAGGATACCTGGGATTGGAATAGTCGATCTGTAGTATTTCTTGTTACGGGAAACTGCCCCCCTTTTGCAGAGATTAGTGCCGCTATCTATACACAGAGGCATATTGAGGAGCCAGAGTCAGATGATTTCTTTGGTTGGGTGTGAGTATTTACCAGCTACTGGGCATAGTACTAGCTAATTTAAAGCAGCTCCAAAGTAGTCCATTTTATGCGAGAACGAAATTGGGTCTTTGGTGACCTGAATCAATTGAAATCGATCTGGAAAGGCGAGATATAGAATCCTATCAACATGACCGAGGTTTCTTAGACATGGATTCTCGAGAGGAGACGGACGCAGACCGAGCCCTTTTTGCATAAGAGGATACACGGGTGTAATGATCGTTCAACTGTGGTATTGCCTGGAGTTCTTCTTCCGAAATCCAATCAAGTCTGAAAACTAGAAACTCCTTCCTACCATCTAGTCCTTCTCTGGAGCTGAACACAATACGAATGATATTGCCAGCCGAATGGCAACTAGTATCGTTGGACATGCATCCAAAGGGTTCGACAGCTTCAAGCGGCTCGGATATGGTGTTGTCGGTAGTATCAATTTTGTCGCCATGATCGTATTCATCAACACACTCAGCGGTCTGTTCTAATGGAGACAGCCCAGATCCTTCGCGCGGTGAGCTAATGGGGATCGTAAGGGTACTGGCTGTGTCATTGAATATAGGCTCGGGTGTAGAATAATCGCTCGATACTAGAAACCATTAAGATATGTTAGCTCATGTCTGCCTTGCTTTATCATAGCCAAGTCACCTTCTATGAGGCCCTCTGTGGGAGAAGTCATCTTGTAGCTTGTAGTTCCTTAAAGTAAAGTTCTTGGGATACTAAAGGCCCGGAACCGCGTCTCTATTTATATACTACCAAAGAGCAAGTGGAGTCTGCAATATGTCGGAAGAAATAGTATCTGAACTCTTTCTGTCTTGTTGTGAGGTCTGCTAAATTTGAAATGGTATGAAAATCCTTCCATGGTGATATTGGACGCCGACTTGTCAGAAGCTCTTATTCCTGATCGATAGAATTATAAAATGAAGCATGAGCCCATTCTCAGGACTTGGCTTTACAGGGCATAAAGAGTGAAACTTTCCCATTGTAAGAATCCTTACCAATTAAATGAGGCATATATTAACCTTGATCAGAGTCAAAGTGATTATGAACAATTGACCAGAAAATGCTCTGAATGAGTTGAGAAGGTCTCAATCTGAACTTATTCAGATCCACCGAAGAAGTTTATTTCAATTACCACCCATTACTAGAATAGATCAACAAATCGAAGAGCCATCTCAAATGACTCCTGTGTCTCTGCCTGCGTTCGAAACTATAATGTCAACAATAATGTGGCTTCCTGGCAAGGTGGAATATTTATCGACAGTCACACATTCACTTACCTATGGTGAGGAAAAAGAACGCGGTAGGATGATCTCAGTTGATGGATATTGCCCAAGTCCCAGCGATTCTAGATTTAAGGTTATCTCATAAGTATTTTGTCATATTACCTATCTGCCCGTAAAATAACCGCCAGGCGAGCAGGCGAGCCGCTCACCTCTTCCCGCATTCTGATTCACACACATTTTTGAAGTGGTCTCTCAACGTCTTAAAGCCGTAAAATTGTGCTTTTAGTTAATACCTCTCGCAGAGTATCTTACACATACAGTCAAGAGGCTCTCGTGAATAGTTCGTCCACATGGTGATATATAAGGTGATTGATTGAGAGATAACTTTCCACCCTTCTAGACTTTGAAAATTCTAGATGTCGATATGTAAAGGGAAAGAAAGGCAGAATGAAACTGTATCGGCTTCAGGTACGTAGCCCACTTACCAAGGAGCGATTGCCTTGTAACAATAGGTCTCTATACAGCCAACGACTGATCACTCTTCTTCTGTGCAAAGCTTTGGATTGTCCCCAATGCGCTTGAGGCCACAATTTCAGTCTCGGTGCTCCCCCGTCAAACTATGAAGACAAAATCACTGGGTTTCTCCCCTCACTTCCTAGCACGGTCACGATATAGTCATACCAGTATGAGCCAAGACCCACAATCCAATATCTTCCCTTCTCATCTGCAATGTTCTTCTGCGCTTGCTTAATGACTTGTTGACACTCGTCGTATCGACCAATCCGTGATAAGATCTGAGCGATGGAGTACAAAACAACACCATGATTGAAACCCTGATCCCAACCTGAGTTTCTCAGTAATTCTGATGCACGCTGCCAGCGCGCAAGTGCAGTCTCTAATTGACCTTGGAGATGTGAGATTCTTGCCAGTCCGACCCACACGCGAAAATGCTGCGTACTCTGGCTGACATCTGGATCAGTAATTCGCTCGACGACTGACAAAAGCTCTGTCAAGCACTGCTCAGCTCTCACAAGCAAGCCACGTCGAATAAAGCTTTCTATGAGGCCGAGCCGTAATTGTCTCCCTGTACTGATGTTATACCATCCATTTTTTAAACTTATTTCGAGTGGTTTCTCGATGAGTGTTTCTGCTTCCTTTGGTCTTCCAACCTCGCAGTACAATGCGGTGATATTCGAGATTAGATTCATCTGCCAACCAGTACTTACGTAGTAATCCTCTGCCGAAAATCGACTGAGTATTTGCTCCAAGTATGGCAGCGCCTCTTGAAATCGACCCTGGTTTCTTAATATTCTCCCGATCATCACATCACGACTTTGTAAGACCAGAAGCTCCATCGATGATGGAGCTTCTGGATGAATGGGCTGCCAGACATTGAGCTCTTCTTGGGCCCGTTGGAGATCGCCCTCTCTGATAAGAGTCTCTGCAAAAGAGACTACGATATCTCCTTTCGTGGCATTCCATCTCACATCCGAAACCAGAGCCTCGTCAAGCCCCGGCAAAGCTATGTTGTGGATATGGTTTTCGAGAACTGTATATGACTGCTTGAACTTGCCTTGCAAACGAAGAATTTTGCTCTCGACACAGGTAGCCCATCCTTTCAAATAACAATCTTTCTCATTCGATAGAAGACCTCTTATTCTGTCAATGCATTCGTTTTTCCACGGAAAGTAGCGAAATCTTGCAGCAGAAAGGAGCATAATCGTTACAGCCTTCTTGAGAGCTGGGTACTTCTCACAGACAGAAGGGTCTAATTGGTCGAAAATCTTCAATATCCGAGGGATATGCACAAACATCTCTCGTCCAACAGCACCAAAACTATGACTTGTTAGCAGCGAATCTAGGTGATTAAAAGGAGACATACTCATCGTCAACATATACACTGAAAGGAAATGCATGAGCGACTAGCGAAATGGCCTGTATCTGCCATTTTACACGCTCTTTATGAGCAACTCTATGAGTTGCACAGTCCTGAACGAGAGGGTGAACTGATATCGCCTTTCCTTCAGTCCCTGTGGTATTTCTCTGTATCAATGAAAATCCAAGCAGATGCCCAAGCTCTTCATCCAGTTGCATTTCATCCCCGAGGAGAGTGGTCAATTCTTGATCAAGACCTGTCTCTTCGGGTGTGATATGGGCGATTTCCCCGTCGCGGCCCCACACCTTTTTCGTTGAGCATGCTCTGCGGAGCATTGTATCGGTGATATTACCGCCCTCGAGGTATGAGAAAAGTATCAAAAGGCCTGAAGCTCGTGGAGCGTCTCTTTCAAGTTGACGAAAGTTCAGCTCCCAAACAGTCGCCACGGTGTTATCATAACCACTTATTCCAGGATTGATCTTGAGTATTTCGTACTGCTTTTCTTGAAAGAGGCGCTGATAGTCTCTCAGCGACTTCTGTCGTCTCCGGATAAAAGCACCAGCTTGATCGATTGCCAGCGGAAGGTATCCCAGCTTTCTTACAATAGCATTAGCCTGGTCGAGATTATCCTGCGTCATATCACTGATAGCAGCTTTTTCAAGGAGTAAACCTATAGCAGCATGCTCATCCAGGGGTTCCACGGCTTGACCTGCAGGAGCAAGAACACCGACGACTACTGGATCGCGACTTGTGATGATAATGTGACCCCAAGAACAGACCGGAAAATATTTTGAGAGTGAGACAGAGTCCAGATTATCTGCGCCGTCGAAGATCATGAGCCAGTGAGTATTTCTGGGACTGGCGAACCACTTTCTCAAGAATTCTATCTTGTCAGGTGTGTTACCCAGGTGCAGTAAATCACAGATACGCTGGAAATCGGCCATCAATGTAGTGTTTGAAGTGGCATTGAAAAAAACCACACCATCTTTATATCTAAAACGATTACGCAGAGCGTACTGCAATGCGCTGTGTGTTTTACCAGTTCCACCTGCTCCGAATTAGCAAAACTAGACCTCCAAATGATGTAAGTGTGAAATACCGAGGCCAGTCAGTGCATATATCAACTGTCTATCCGAACTAGACTGACTGAAATACTTGTCCATATTGTCTAGAAGTTGTTGTCTTCCTCGGAATGAAGTACACCTATCGAACGGCACATCAAATACAAGTTCTGTGTCCATATCAAGTTTTGAAACTATTAGATTGGTTAGTAATGCGCGGTAATCTGTCGAAGAACTTAATACTGACATTGTTCTTCTCGCGAGCAACTAGCGGGACTAGTAAGTGCTCTTGTGATATCTTGTTTGAACTTGAGTAAGCGAGTGACTACTGGTCTGTAGTTTCGGTCCTTCACAGATGAGAATCGTGCAATATTTCGATGATCAGCGAATTGACCGATCGGGATCTCATTTGGGATGTTGAGGATTGCCGACCGCTGCTCAACAACCTAAACTGGACAGTCAGACCTTTCATCTAATCCAACTATATTGGCATACCAGTCTTTTGAAAATCCCAATGCTTGTCATTTCCAACTCGAAGAATGATACAATTTGTAACTTCCCTGCTTTCTCCACGAAGTCTTCTGTGATTTCAAATAGCACTTTGGAATCTTTGCGAAGCAAGCTTAGCAGTCCGCGAGCCGGCCGGAAAGGGGAACAAGCATGGATGATATTCGCTATGACTTTTCCTGTGTCGGCAACACCACTGCCACTATGAGGGGTTGCTACGTCATTAGCATGATTGAAACTAAATGGCAGATATTGCAATATACCTAGAAAAATGACCCCGTAGGCGGCATCTTGCACATGTTGCTGCTCCCTTGGGCACCGTATAAGAAGGGCCTAAGGACAAAATTAGCCAAATTTATTGAGTTTTAAACAGTTTCGTACCTTCTTCACAACAATTCCACCAAGGCTATGACAAATATAGACAATAGGTCTCTTGCATTCCTGTTTGGTTGTAAGCGAACGCTAGCTTGTCTCAGCTGAATTCAAACCTTTTCCGTCTTCCTCAAATCGACCAATTCTGACAGAAGTTTCATGGATATGTTTCTAAGATCCTGGTGTCCAGTAAAATTGTTGAACCGTGCATTGTATCCGTATGTCATGATACGGATGTTTGGCAACTCCTGTGGCAATAGATCACGAAGCCACATGACTCCACTCTGCTTGTGGGTCCAAGTCTCTATGGCATCTCCGTTAAGCCCGTGAACCGCGATGAGGCTGGATTTGGATGAGTAGAATATTTATAAAGGATACTTGCTTAGTCCTTACTCATATGTAATATCGTCCGGGCTAGGCGGTTGGTAGAGGACTGTTAGTCCGTATTCAGTACTTGTGTTCATTCTAAGCGGTTTCTTTCGAGACGTGCTTGACCATCTGTTGGGTGAAGCTCTGATGGATAACAGAGAGCTTGATTTTGGAGGGAAGATCTGTCCTTTAAGTACTGACATGATATGCTGCCTCGGAAACTAAAATAGTAACAGGACTACAGGCGAGAGAATCTCACCAATAGAGTGAGGAGTGCAAGCGCCTGTGCCTAATGTGACAGTGATAACGTAAGACTTCCAATAGGCACCCAGGGTGCACGATAAGACTTTGCGGTTCGGATCGCAGGAGTGGTGGGGCAGGTGAGGGGTAACTTTGTGTGCTTTGGTCATATAGGTTGAGTGTAATTTACCTTACTCCATAATGAAGCTAGAATCCAGCTATTGGCTATAAAGGCAGGCTACCTCCCGCGCACAGTTGGTGGTTTTTGACCGTTCCCAGTCAAAAAGCCACCTTCTACTATATTTACAAAGATGATTAAGTCTACACCGAATTACATTGTATAATCTACATTACATTCCAATCTCTGGTAATATCAACTGATATAGAATGGATTAGGAAGCGATACGAAAATTAAATACGACGCAAACTGGTTTCAAAATCTTACGGGATCGGATCCAGTCAAAAAAACTTTTAAATGAATCGGCTTTGGATCAAATGCGAACTTGGGTTCAATGTCTAGGCTACTCGGTAGGCATACCTGATCACTGCTCACTGAACATATCTGATATAGTAGACACAACCTGAACAGATCAGTGATCTTGACAGACTCAATGTAGTCCATGTTGCTGGCACTAAAGGCAAAGGCACTACTTGCGCTTACACAAACTCTATCCTTCAACAACATCGCATTTCACTTGGGACGCCTCAAAAGATTGGGCTTTATACTTCACCCCATATAACAACTGTGCGCGAGAGAATTCAGATCAATTCAGAGCCATTATCGGAGGAGAAATTTGCCAAGTACTTCTTTGAAGTCTGGGATGCTCTTGAACTTGAAGATCTCAACTCGGGAATCAGACCATCTTACTTTCGATTCCTAACTCTTATGTCATTTCATGTCTTCATGCAAGAGGACGTTACCACAGCCATTTACGAGGTCGGCGTTGGAGGCGAACTAGATTCTACTAATATTATTACCAGCCCTGCTGTTACTGGTATTACTACACTCGGTATCGATCATGTTACTATGCTTGGTAATACAATTGACAAGATAGCGTGGCACAAAGCAGGGATCTTCAAAAAAGGATGTCCTGCGTTCACTGTACCTCAGGTATCTCATGCGATGGAGGTTTTAAAGAAACGTGCAACTGAAAAAGGAGCTTCTCTGAGTATAGTTGAGGAATATCAGGCGGTCCATGAGATTGACATTAAACCAGCAGAACCTTTCCAACGGATGAATGCTTTTCTAGCCATCAAATTGGCAGAAACCGTTCTGAAAAAGCTTGGTGTTGTCACAAGTTTCAGGGGTGGTGAATTGTCTACCCTATTTATCCAAGGGCTTGAAGATACTTTATGCCGAGGGAGATGCCAGGAATTAGTCATGGGTCATGAACATTGGTATCTTGATGGTGCGCACACTCAAGAAAGCCTCGAAGCAGCCTGCTCTTGGTTTGGAAGAAGATCGGGTATCAGGTTGGTTTCTCTTCAAATCACTGTTAGACTTCAGTGCTTACTTTATTTCGGCAGTCTTCCGCGAGTTCTTATATTTAATCAACAATCGTCGAGAGACGCCATTTCGCTTCTCAAAACCATTCATCATACTCTGGACAAAAATTTTGGTCTCAAATTCACGTGCGCCATTTTCTGCACAAATAGCATGAATAGTCTGAAGTCGAGTAATATCGGTTTGTATCATCTTCTAGCACCTGAAATTTATGCAATGGAGAAACCGAAAAAAAATATACTGTGACTAACTTGTGTGAACTCAAGAATTCATGAATCAAAACGTCGACCCAGAGACGATCCAGAGTTTATCTTTGCAAAGAGAATTAGCGCAAACCTGGAAAGAGCTGAACCCCGGAGATGAAGTGATCTGCTTGCCTACGGTAGAAGCTGCTGTTGACCAAGCGAGAGCGATTGCCAGAGAAAACCGCGGATTGAAAGAGACCGAGATATTTGTCACAGGAAGTTTCCATCTAGTCGGCGGTGTGCTGTCTATATTGCAAGAAGGCCAAGAGATTTAGAGGCGTGCACGGTGCGAAAGATTGGATCCTTTCGGAATTTTTTCAAGGCATAATGAAGCAGACTTGCATGGTTTGACTTGACTAGGCTGTTCTTCGTTTCAAAGTTTTGAGCAAATAGTTTCCTCCTCTGCTTTACCTGACCACGGCACCTTCACCTTCTAGTTCAAGCTGTAACTCGTCCATTTTCCTTTTTGATCCACTAGGCAAGAGTCTAAAAAGCTAGAATGACAGCCATATGCTATCATCCCGACCCTCAAACATCTAAAATATAGCCATAAGGCTTGGTTGCAGTCAACTCGTCCTTACGATCACGTTTACCTCAAATGTCTTGAGTGGTGAACTGATCAGGCCTACGAGTTGACAACATTCTTATTAACATAGCTAGTCGTCATTATCGTGTAGCTTAGGCCATCTGGATGCCAATGGCCGATTCACTTGCCGCTAGCTGATTAATTGTGAGCGAAAGTAATACTGTGTGGCTCAAGTTTTCATTTTTCTTTGTTCTAGAACGAGGCATTTTACACGGTCTTGCATTAATGAAATACAAGCAATGTGTCTACTTGTGCTTGGCTTACGAATATGTATGGATAAGTAATCAGTAAGGCGGTTCTCGGATGTAGCACAAGACAATATGGCGAAAGCCGATCATCTGGTTTTGCCGCGTGGGGTCTCCTTAGCTGCCCCTCACAATCCCGCTTTGCGTATCCGTGTTTCTTGAATAGATCATGTGACTTGCGGGGACAGGGGTAGGCACCGCCGATCGAATTTCACCACCGCGAGCTTCAACACAAATGAACCCTTAATCTTATTTCTACGCGAATGACATCTGATCTAAATATCTTGAAAATCGGATCTTGCTTCAGCTTTATGCAAGTCTGCTTGCAATCAGTCTCGTGGTCTTTCTGTTATTCGTGCCAGCACCAATGCTGAGGCACATTCAACCGCCTTGCTCATTCCGTCTTAAGCCACGTTTCCCAACCTCGAAGTTTTGCGGACGCGCGGCCCTTCTTGCGCCGTTGAAGGCACCCAAACTATCATTTACTACAATGTCCTCAAAAAAATCGACAAAGAGGAGGTCTGATCACGATGAATCGATTCACCCCTCAGAGGCACAGCAATCTGCACAGCGCAAACTGGAACTCGGTCTTCATAAATTACGTTGCCTAGCCTCATCTCTTCTTGATGGCAATCCCATTTGCGTACACGTGGATAAGCTAAACAGTGAATACAGTAGAGGCTTCCTGCTTACTATGGATAATGGGTGTAAACTCATTGCAAAGTTACCATGCACACACACAGAACAAGCCTTCCTCGCGTCTGAGGTAGCGACTCTCAAATACCGTATGCTTCATGTCCTGTTAGACAAACTCTTCGAAGCTGACATCTCCTAGTGCGCCAATATACATCCCTTCCAGTTCCAAATGTCCTCGCCTGGAACCCAGATAAGACAAATGAGATTGGTTCGGAATATTTGATCATAGAGAAGACTCCTGGGGTTGCTCTAAAAGACTTGTGGGAAAATCTAAGTACCCTGGATCGCTACAGCATTATTGAGAAGATTGTCGCTATGGAGACTGAGCTTGCAAATCTGGATTTCCCAGCATACGGTGCTCTCTACTTGCGGGATTCGGCATCTGCTCAACCGAAGTATTATCCGCTGGCCTCTGAACGCGACTGTGGTGAATCTTTCTGCGTTGGACCAATATATAAGTTGTCACAAACAGATGACAACACGGAATCGTCTGGAGAGTTAAAGTCTTTCGGGCCTTGTCAGTCTATTTCTCACATCCACGTTATTCCTTTGTATTTGTTATTGGCCATCAACACTGTTCTAACCATCCTTTCAACCCACTGTAGGGTTAACTTTCGAGAATTTCGCCTCGTACTTCGGTCAACAACAGGTGATTACCCAAACAATTCGCCAGAGTGTCGAAAATAAGTTCCAAGCGATGACTCAAGTTCATTTCGACCCTATCGATGAAATTAGAGCTCTGCTAGAAAAGGCCTCGGTTTTGACACCTATTTTGACCTCGGACAATCGAGTTCAGAGAGTCTCCAAACCATCTTTATGGCATAGCGGTCTACCTCTTGACGATATCCTGGTTTCTGCGACACAGCCTTCAAATATTCTTGGAATTATCGGTTGGCAGTCATCTAAAATCCTTCCATTATTTCTGCAAGCACAGTTCCCCAAATTTCTTGGAACTCCCAGATCTTATAAACTTGGCGATTCTATGCCTAGTCTCTCTGGTTTTGCTGCACTCAGTCCCGAACAGAAGCAAAGCGTACTTCGGAACCAAGACACAGCCGCCCGTACCAGATATTACGAAATGTGCATATTTGACTACAATAACCCAGTTTATGAGGCATTGAATCTTGATCCAAAACTGACTGAACTGTATCGGTACCACGATTTATCCACAGAGGGTGATATACTAGGCCTTTACAGCTACTTAATCTCTGTCTCGGCAGACTGGGATAGTTTGGGATTATCTGGTGATTGCCCATTTCAATTCACCTCGGAGGAGTTAGTGCAGTTTCAGAAGCAGCACGCTCAATATCGCGATGCTTTGAACACAAGGGGCTCATGAACTATGACCATTTATTGGTGCTAATGAGAGTCAAAAAGTGGCGGACAAAGATGCCAGGGATATCTGGAAAGAGTTTGTCAGGTATACCACTTCAGCAGTATGGCATTTGTTATTTAGTAATGATGGAAATATAAATTCGGCAATGATTGGGCACCTGCAGAAGCACAATTCTAAGCCCTGTATTTAGGTATAGGTAATCTAGCCCTTCTTATATTATGACATAGTATTCCTCAACAACAATAAATAACGAGCCAGGAAGACGAGTAGTGTTATAGCTTAGCTCAAAGAATGACATTGATAGGGCTATATTCATGACCTTCATCCATGCTTTAGGAAGAGATATAATCAAGCTCAATAATGTGTTGTGTATGCGGGATATCGAAAGGAGTCAAAAGTCGAAAATAATCTGAAAGTAGTTGTTCGAGTGAGGAGCATGGCAGAGTAAGCAGATGTTTTCGGCTTACGGTAGATCTTGTAGGAAGATTAACGCAGTTGATACGGCAGGCATAGCAAGCACTCCACAGACGTAAGTACTAAGCAGTGAGATTGAGCAATGAGGTAAGCCGCATTAGCCACGTAGCGTTCGTCCTCAAGCAGATTGCCAAGGCGGAAAGGTGGCAAGGTGCTGATCTGTATTTCCACGCAGTGGATAGCCAAGGGGCAAAGGGCGCTATGCCTAAGCAGGGACGCTATACCACTCCAAGTAATTCGCCGTCACCGCAGACTACGGAGTAGTATGAAGTACTCATATATGGATCGACCAGGATCAAATATTATCGACCGACCGAGCCAGATGTTCGAGGGTTCCGCTTAGTTGACACACGACACCTACTTGGACCGGTTTGTTTGGGGCCAGTTGGTGATGCAGCTGTATGCATGAGATGATGTGAAGCTGGTCGACTCCCTGCTTCGTACCTTTGTCCTTTCGCTCTACTCAGCATTCGCAGGCATAGTCATGGCGATTTAGCGCTGCCCCCCCCCCCATCCAGAGCAGCGCTGAGCTAACCAAAGTTGCATTGAGCACGTAGCATACCACTGCAGATGCTGGAAGCATGATAAAGCAGGTATAATTGCAGTAGACACTCGTGACCTTGACTGTCAGGATAATGGAGGGCCCCTTGCGACTGATTCTTACCTGGCAGACAGTGTAATGTCATTCCAAGTCTTTTGTTTGCTAATCTAATGGATGGGTATTTTTGCCCGATTTGTCCTGGGAATGTCTTGCCAATCTGACTCCCATATCTTTTGACACGTCCCTGCCCCAGTTTGTTCGTGGCAGATTCAGGGAATCTACTCTATGCTCGATCGAGAATGTCAATCTTACTCCTTAACTAGTGGGGGCTTGACCAGCGATCACCAGCCACAATCGGATGATCCCTCTTTGTCTTCAGCCTCATTCATCTTCAACGGTTTCCTTCCACCAGACCGGATTTAGTCGCTCTGCAAACTCACTCCATACACTACACCGTCGGCAAGGGATTACACCCGGTCACTGATATGGGGATGACTGAGGTTTTGTTCTTCCTCGAAACAGTGCTATATGATAGACACTGTCCATATCTCTTACGGTAAAAGAGCCTGCGATCAGGTCATGGATGATTGCTCCCAGCTACAGGATACTATACGGTAATAAACTCCCTGAACATACCCCGCCATGGGGAAAACATACGTCCCGAGGTAATCATGATTTGAACATGGAACCTCCTGAAAGACTCGGACAATTCAAGATATGATTACTACCTAGTCGATGATGGTAAGTAGTATACTAAACTAGGTATAAAGGATGAGAGGTCGTTGGCCTCTCGTCCGGGGGCATGGAGGGGAGTACAATCCCCGATTGGCCACCCGCCCGGACGGTCTTATCCACGGGTCAAAAGCCCATAACTTACTACGTACATGGATGCAAGTGCACACTGCCGTAAGTGTCAAGAGTCAGATTTCCCCCCCCATTCATTCTTTTCACCCCTCCTTTCCTCCCACTTTGTCTCTCCTCTCCTCTCCTCTCCTTTCCTTCGATCTTCTACCGTCTGCAATCTCTCCTCTTTTATCTCTATCACCGTCGCGTATCGGTACCAAAGTTGGATCGACGTGTCATCCTTTCGCCTCCCCTCCGATCACCTCCGCTTCCACTCCGGTCGAGTTCTGTGCTTATCGTGTATCGCTAGCCATCCATCGCCACCACAAGTTCTCGCCCTCGCGACACGTCCTCTACCGCAAGCCCTGCAAGCCTTGCAAGCCGCGCACTCGTCCTTCAATCTCGCTGATTGCTGCACTCGTACACTGGATTGAAAACGCTCAGGCAACAATACAGGCTCTAAGTTGACGACAGTCGACTTCTCCTCCTACCTCGTTAGAATACTCTTGTCACCCGCAGTCTTTCTGCCAGTGCGCCCGCCAACCCTCCGCGGTTACGGCGACGTTCTGGTCCTGCGCTGATAAGGGTTTCTGACATACAATTTCTGGGCACATGAGTAGCAAGCTTTGGAGTTTCTTTCTCTACGATGATGTCGAGAGCTTCCAGCGTTTCTTGGCAACCGCCACTGGAACGACGGGCAATGGAGGCGGCTTGAAGGCTGGAAGCCCCGGATTAGGTCTGGCATCATCGCCAGGCGTCTCGACCAGAAGCAAAAAGCTGAGTGGGACATCTCCCGGAGCATCGATTGCTGAGCGTGGTATCGGCTCGGTACGGTCGGGTAAAACAATATCAAGGGAGGAATTGAATGTGAGGGACAACCACGGTCGCACGATTCTGCACCATGTGGCCTCGTCAAAAAAACCCACAGCGATTGACTTTGCCGTCGCCTTGCTCCAGGTTCCTTTCCTGGACATCTACGCGCAAGATTGGGAAAGTGGCTGGACGGCCCTACATCGAGCCCTCTATGCCGGAAACGCCACAATCGCGCAGGCGCTGATGACTCGAGACATGCGCGACGCCACGGACTTTAGCAAAGCGGGTAACTCGGGGCTTCCGGTTGGAAGCTTGATCCGGATTAAGGATCGAGAAGGATACAGTCCGTTTGATGTATACGCAGCTACAATAGCGTCCCGAGACATCAAACGGAGCTCCGATTCGACAAACGCTGCCAGATTATCTGCAGGTGGCGAGCACAACGATCTCGTGTCTGAAGGGTCATCGGATGACGAAGACCCCGACCACGATAGCCGGTTCAGCAAGCGTCTTCTGAAGCCAACCACAAATCTATCTGGCGATGAGGTTTTCACCTTCGGTAGCAACAAAAACCTGAACCTCGGTGTCGGAGATCAGGATGATCGTCAGTTTCCGGAACGAATTATCCTGAAAAGGCCCGGCCATCTTCTGAAACGACTTTATCATGAGTTTCAAGAACAGCGGTCCGAATCCGGTAAGCTCTATGTCCAGCAAGAGTCAGACAATGTGGGCGCAACCGAACTGCCCGCGATTGTGAAGAGCAAACCTATAAAGATCCAGGATATCATTATGTCTAAGCTTCATACTGCTATCATTACTGCCGATCCGGAATCAAACCTCTTCTTGTGTGGCTTTGGCCCTGGTGGGCGTTTGGGCACTGGGGACGAAACCACTCGTTTCACTTTCGTCTGCATCGAGGGCGGAGGCCTTGCCAACAAGAAGGTGGTTTCCGTGGCCCTGGGACAAGATCACACGCTTGCAATCACCGAGAATGGAGAAATCTATAGCTGGGGAAGCAACAAGTATGGCCAATTGGGCTACAGCTTGCCGAGGTCGAACAATCAGGACGATGTGCCTATGCAAAAACAACCACGGCAAATTTTTAATCCCTTCAAGAAGGAAGTGATTCTTGGGGTGGCAGCATCAGGCGTCCATTCCGTCGTATTCAGCAACTCTGGCCTTTATACTTTCGGCAAGAATGAAGGACAACTTGGGCTCATTGACTCCGATGCTCGATCACTTGAGATGCAGACAACCCCTCGACGGGTGGGAGCGTCGTTGTTTAGTGCACCCATACAGAGTGTATCTGCCATTGATCAGGCGACATCTGTTCTTCTCCAGAACCACGAGGTTTGGGTGTTTTCCCAGTATGGTTACTCCAAACTTTCATTTCCGCTAGATGTCAGCTCCAGATTTATAAAAGATAGTTTCATGGCCACGAGGTATGGCTCCTCCGTCAACCAAGTGGTCAAAGTCAAATCTGCCGGCAATACTATCTGCGCCTTGTCGAGTTTTGGAGAGGTGTACACCGTGCAAGTTAACAAGACAGACGCTTCGTCAATGTCAACATCGACCACAAATCCTTCCAAACCTCGGAACTCCATGTCAGTGCCGACCAGGATCTGGTCTGTGAAGAAGGCACATATGGCAGCAAGGGATTTTGATGTTGGACAGGACGGGTCGGTCATTATCTGTACCGTCTCCGGTTCTGCTTGGAGCAAAGAGAAGCGCCGGAAGTCAAAAGATTCAACGAAGGACTACAAATTCGCCAGGATACCCGGGTTGTCTAGAGTAGTCGGTGTTTGCAGCAATGCTTATGGGGCTTTTGCAGCTGTGCAGCGGGACTCTGAAGTCACTCATGAACAGATTATAGTCTCTCAACCGACATTATGGGCGGATTTCCTTCCCTTATCTCCGTTCAGCTCATTCATAGATACCAGGAGCTCAGAAGATACATTTGGAAGTGCTCAAATAGTCTCAAATCCGGCTTTGCTCATCAAGAGGGCGATCCTGGGATCGTCAGAGATTGAACCTTACTTTGAGACATCGCGAACCCGTACACTTTCTGGAGTCGTTTGGATTAAGACAACATTGTCAGATGTACGACTTCCTGTTCATGAATTTATCTTGGCCGGGCGAAGTTCCATTCTTCGTGAGATTCTGTACAGCTTCAGGCATACAGGTCGCGCTTCTCCGCTCGATATCTTGACCATTGGACGAGACAGTGAAGGAGATATCCAACTTACATTTCAATCCTTGGATATTTTCACGATTTTGAATCTGGCGTTCTACATGTATACGGACGAGATACTAGACGTCTGGCACCAGGCTAGGCAGTCATCGGAAAAGTCCTCTCGATACCGGCAGGTTCGATCCGAAGTAATGCGTGTTGCCACGCATTTGAATCTGCCAAGTCTGGAACGAGCTGCGAGACTTATGATTGAACCAACAAAGGCTCTGCGGCATGACATGGAGTATGCCATACAGGATCCTGCTTTCTTCGACAGTGGAGATGTCATCATTGACTTGAAAAGGGGAGAAGTCAAGGCTCACAGCCATGTTCTGTGTCAGAGATGCCCCTTCTTCAACGCCCTGTTCTTCGGTCGCTCAGATGGAAGATGGCTGTCTTCACGCCGTGCTCATGCAGATGCTATCATTCATATTGACCTCAAGCATATTGACCAACATGTGTTTGATTTTGTCCTTCGCTACCTATATGCGGACACCGAGGCCGAGCTCTTTGACAATGTCAGGACGAAAGAGCTGGATGATTTTATTGATTTGATAATCGACGTTGCTTTTGTGGCAAATGAGCTTATGATTGACAGACTGGCTCAAATTTGCCAGCAAATGCTTGGGAAATTCGGTAAGCTTAGGGAACTCTACTACGAATCAGAATGAGGTATTGATTAGAGATCTCTAGTGCATACACGCAACGTCTGTTTCCTTCTCAACTCTATGTCGCCCTGCTCGGTGAAGGAATTCAGGGATGCCGCTCTGGAATACATCTGTTTGAACCTTGAAGATTTGCTAGCAAACAGGTAAGCATAAATCTCCGCACGCTTGTGTAGACAGCCAGAACAGAACCAACACTTATAATATCAATAGGTTACTAGCGGACCTCGATGAATCCTTGCTTGACGCTCTTGATACTGTTTGCCGTGATAATCAATTGACCAGTTTACCTATCTCGAGAGGACGCAACTCCGAGGAGTACATGTTCGAGAGATATCCAGAGCTTGCATCTGCCTTGGAAACTGATAGGAGGAGAAAGATCGACTACATGAGGTTGAGACCACACCTCACTCGGATCGACAGCTCCGAGGGTAAGCCTCGTGCAACAGTTATCGAAAGGGCAGCTCTGTCTCCTTCAGTATCAAAAGCCAAACCTATTCCAGCCAAAGACGGATCGTTATCAGCTTCTCGCAGTCCACTGTTAAAATCGAGACAATCGACTGCCGATTTGATGTTCCAAATGGACGACGAGTTTGCGCTGTCTCCAGCGGATCTCGGAAAAGGCAAGGCAGCAGTTCGTGATGTTACACAGAATGCCACAGCCGATACACCACTCTCTATCGACTCTCCCGCTCTTCGAGCGAGCCCTTTCGAAGGAGGCTCTCTTGGGGATCCCAGCTATTTAGATACCCAGATGGCGTCACCGCTCGATCCCACACTCACAGAATCACCATCCGAGTCCTGCGCCGCAGCACGTCATAGGAAACAGGACCTGCTTTCCTCACCCCCAGACTCAAGCGCTCAAATGCCATGGAGCTCATCTGCGATATCTACATCGAAAAAGAATCTCAAGGATATTATGAGCGAGGCTTCAGGCAATCGGGTTTCGAACCTCAGCCTGGGAATGTCTGCTCGTCGGGAAAGTACCAGCAATCCTGCACCCAAGATGTCGCAGAAGGAACGCAAGAAGGTTCAGCAACAACAGATGCAGGAGATGCTCGTCGCTCAGCAGAAGGCAAAGGAAGCGCCTCAAAACCCGTGGAAAATGCCAACCCCAAATAAGCCTGCTCCTCCAGCCAGCGGGCTCGGCAGTCCAGCCCCAGAGTCCGCGAAAGCGTCGCCTAAACCGTCCATGACCCTTCGGCAAACTGTCGCTGGAACACCACCGGCAGCGCGGACGAAACCTAGCCCTATCCCCACGCAGACTCCAGGCCGCAAAGGACCGGTCAATGTCCAGACACCCCCTCGACCTCAAGCCTCGACATCTTTCATATCCACCCCGGCGTCGTCTAACCCTCTAGCCACTCCGCAACCTGCTATCCAGTCTATTCGCCACATTCCACGTCCCGAGCCCTACCAGACCAGCTTCCATTCCCCTTCCTCGAACTCGCTTTCACTGGCTACCATTCTCATGCAACAACAAACCGAAAAGGATGAGATCCGTGAAGCAGCGACTGCCAAACACAATCTGGAGGACATCCAACTGGAACAAGAATTCCAGGCGTGGTGGGATAAGGAGAGTCGACGAGTCCAAGGCCTGCCAGAGCCAGACACGAACTCTGCGTCCACTGACAAGGAAGAGAAAGGGAATTCGCGGTCGAATCGGGGCAGAGGCAAAGGCAAGAGTAAAGGTCAGGGGTCAGGCCAAACCCAAAGTCAAAGCCAACAACAGCCACAAGGACCACAGCAGCAGCTCCCGCAGCGGAAAAAGCGCGGAAAGGCCGCCGCTGGCCCGGTTGACGGGTCAATCTCGCCTTCGGTACAAGAGCAACAACAGCCTCCCCGCAATGGATCCAGTGCTCCCCCCGCATCACAAAAAGGCCATCCTCATTCAACCCCTCGACGGGACAGCACCCAACCCCGGACAATCGCGAACGGAAATCACGTTGACGGAGCAGGTGCGGCTGGATCCAGCACTGGCGGGAATCCACGACGTGGAGGTGCAGGTGGTGGTGGCGGTCGAGGCGGAGGTCATTTCCGTGGACGCGGCAAACCTCGAAGAGAAAAGACGGCGGCTGCTTGAGGTCAGTCATGCCGCTGCCTGCTTCCCCCTCTTCTCCTCCTCCTTCTCCTCCTGCCTGATACTGGCTCGATTCACCTCCACGATGTTGAGGATCATCTCCTCGATCACACATACATAACTCTACACATACAAACATATCCATCTCTATCATCTCCCCGGATATACAGCCTCAACCCAATATTCTCATGATCTCGACATAGAATTTCATTCTTTTGTCTTTACCATCCGCGAAGAAGAATGGATATCTATCCACCTGTACCGTTCCTTAGGGACTCAGTAACAATAGAAGAGATTGTATCACATACTGTACGAGATGATAAATCTAGCGCTCTCCCTGCTCTCCCTTTTACCAAGTTCGAATGAGTTTATCATGAATGTGAGGAACAACTCGATCTACTTGAATATCTGCAAGAAGTGCCATAATAAGAATAACTTTTATCGTAACTAACGCTACAGCAGTAGGAACAGTACGTCAGGTGTAATGACACGGCGATCTACAACTGCAGGCCCACAGTAAGTGATCGTTGCTCATCATGGCCACATGTTACCAATAGCTGACAACCAGCTAGTCTAGTACTGTAATTGGTTTCGACTACTCTTTAAATCTTTAATCCACCAATTATTGAGGATTATCCACGAGAACTGGTACAGTTCGTTATATCAATCACAATATATATTGTGAGCAATAATTTTATTTTCTACAGCTGTTACGAGTTGTCGATGGTTATCGATGATTATCAACGGTTATCAACAGTTGTTATTAGTGTTCGATTGGGGTTTGTACTATTTATGAACTGGTCTAAATCTTCTAGGATTCTACCGAAATCTACTAGGAACTCTTCATAATAACTGTTTACAACCTTCGAAAATGCGTTTATAAAGAATTACCACTGGTCGGTAGACTACTGCTGTTCCACCTCCCCCAGTTTCCACTATGTAAGGCAAGTAATGACAGCAATGGTTTACTCTATCAGCTGCTATTGAGACGCCTGGCTATAGTGTAGACATCTGGAAGACCAGTGGATACGTACAGAGAGCAAGCAAGCCACGATACTGAGCGTCAAACATGCGGCAAGGTGGGGAATCAACGGAGCAGGGGCACTTGCAAGACACTGCATGCACTCATCGCAGATAAAGAAATGAGCCATGGCGATCAAAGGAAACCAGGTCAATAGAAAGGGAAATTGATTGGATTAGATCATCACACAACGTGACAAAGTAGAAAAAAAAGGGTTCGAGGAGCTAGGCTAGAACAACTCGACAGATATAAGTGGATCCAGAAGCACGCAATCTGCACGCCAAAAGAGGTAACAGAGAAGATAAATGACTCGCTAACAGAGGAAGAACCTAGCCTCCACCCGCTAAGACCTTGAATTTAGCACGGGGGTAATAGTATGGAATGCGGAAAGTTGGTAGAAGAAGGGTGTCAAAAAAACGATAATAGTGATACATTTATAGAAAGTTCATGGTCTCTTTGTGTTGTTTAGCCCACTATAGCTACTTCGCGACTGTCCCAGATGCGACGCATCATAAGCTCGGTTTCGTCCGGGTGATGTAGAGTTTCCGATTCCGGGGCTCTTTCGTTCGCCGTGGGATCAGGGTGGGCAGGTTCGTCGGATGAAGAGAGGATGCGGTGAGAGGGATGTTGAGATTTGCTGCCGGAGGCGGGCGGGTCGGTGGGCTCATTTACGAGATCGTCGGGTTCTTGGAGGTAAGTCTGGGAGACAGAGGTGTGCATGTCCGTCTGCTTCCTCCCAATCAATTGTCTGGGTTCTGGGCTGGCGCTACCCTGGCCGCTGTCTTGTTGTCTGCTGTCGCGAAGATGCGTCAAGGCTGGGGCAGACTTGATGGGTTTGCCGAGCGACGACGGGCGTTCCAGGCCAGGGGCCCCTCCCCGGGAATCATTGAGAATGGCATTCAAACGCCTGAAGCTATCCCCAGTGGGAGACTGAAACCGACGGACAACGGTCAATTCCAAAGTGGATTTCTCGTATGCTTTCCGAACGTGCTTGGTTTCGTTGTCGTGTACTATTCCTGTCGCTCGCGCGGATCCATTGACAAGTCCCCTGCCCGGCTCGAAAGTCCCAGCGCCCGGTCGGGTGTGAGGTGCAGCAAACGTCGGGTCCACGACAGAAGGAGGAGCTACTGTAGACACACCGTCAGGCGGAGATGTGTTCAATGCGGCCGTTCGTTGTAGCCAGAGCTTCTGCTGTGTGCGGGAATGGGGTTCTGCGCCTAGTGGCCTGGAAGGTGGCGACGCTCGTGGTTTTCTCGTACTAGTCGCGCGGTTTGGTGACGGGGGGGTTTGAGGGTGGTAGTGTGGGAGGAAAGAAGATGGCGTGTTTGGGTCGGAATCCGTGCGGGAGAAAGAGCTCGTCGCGGGGTTATTGTTGATAATAAACTTCGAAACGCCGCCCTCGATGGACGAGGATGTAGCATGAGCGGGCGTGTTTGCTAATGTTGTGATAGACGAAGACATTGGTCGTCGCGAACCATCATGCCCGGAGGCTAAGTTTGTGAGTGATGCATTACGGGAAGACTGGTCCATCACGGTCGGCTTGACGGTCGCAGATATGGAAGACATGGCCGGTGGTGCTTTGGCAGAGATGGACGGACTGAGAATCCGCGATGCGATGACGCCGTTCTCCGTGGGGCGAACAGGTTCGACCGGTGTCTCGTCAGAATCGGATGGGCGTTGCGGTACGTCTTCGTCGTGGTCAGAGTGCTCCTCGTCATCTGAGTAACTGTCGTCACCGAAACTCTTGCTCGTAGACTCAGGCAGGCTGGTGGCTCGAGGGAACTGCGGGTAAGAGCGCTTGACAAAGGTAAGGGGGTCAACGAGAACAGCTGGATTTTCCACACTCTCTTTGGACTGTGCCACCGAGCTGCGTCTCGTGCTTTCAGGCGACTGCGTTGTATCTTCCCAATCAGCGTCGTCGTCGGAGTCGGCCAACTCGAACCCGACCGTTTTCTTCTTCCCGGAGCTCGTGTGTGGACGGTCGGTAACCAGCGCTTTCTTTCCGAGAACGACAGACGTATTGCGTCGGAGGGCCGGACTAGAATTATTCTTCTTCATTGATCCTGTTGTGCGGTGTGATTCTTCCGCCACTCCATCCCAACGAACGTGATGCCCACGCGGGCTGGCGGCAGGTGTCGCAGGAGCGGACTTCTTGCGCTGATGCACGCGAACGGAGGTTTCGGGGACAATTTGTTGGCTGGAGAGGTGCCTTTGTAGTTTGTGCAGATTTTTGCCGAAAGAGGGGTTGCGGTGATGGCTACGATGGCCCCCGCCGACTAGATGGGGACGATGGGGCCTCGAGGGGGCTTTCTGGGTAGTGTTGGAGGACTGGGACTGAGACAGCTCGCTTTGGTTGGAAGGGGTGCGCGTGACGACAGCGTGGGAGGAGACCGCACGACGGCCCAGTCCAGGGCGCTTGACGGGAGAAGAAGTATTGGAAGTCGGCATGGCGGCCGTGGCAGCAGAGAAGGTACTTCGTTGGTACTTCTGGTCGAGTCAAAAAGCAAAAGAAGAGGCGTTTAAGGCTTAAGCAAGGAAGGGCTGGCCCCGATCGGGTGACGAGCAGCAGCAGCAGCAGTAGCAGCAGTAGTAGTAGCCGGGAAGTTTTCCCCGAGTCAACGGCGATTGGAGGAAACACCCCACCAAGCGATACAACAGATAGTATGTATCCAACTGGACGGGAGAATTCGATGAGTAGAAGAAGTCCTGTTGGACGGATTGTTGATAATCGATTCGATGCTCAAATGATGGGGGGGAAGAGCAAGAGAGAGAGAGACAAATCGGCGACGGTCCAGATTCCCGCCGATTGCGGGGAGAGGGAGACACAATGACGCACAGCGCGGTTACACCACAGCCACGCAGAGGCAAATTAACTGGTCAACGAAGGACGGAAGAACGAGAATAAGGATAGAGTAATCAAGTCTCCAGGTAGCAGAGACTTAGAATGTGAATGGAAGAGAGAGGAGGAGGAAGAGGAGAAGAGAGAGGGAGTAGATACGAGGGGGTGACTTTTGGTGAGGGGAAAAAGGGAGGAAGAGAAGAAGGAAGACGTGGAAGAGGAAAATTAAAGAAGGATTCCCGAAGATTGAATGGAAAGAAAGAATTCAAGTAGAAGTCAAATAGAAATCCAGAGAACCACCTCTCCGGAAAAATTCCACTTTTCCAGAATTTATTATAGAGAGAGAGAGAGAGAGAGAGAGAGTCCAGACCAGTAAACCAGACCGGATTGGGTTGGCCTCGCCTTGTGAAGGAAACGAAAGCATCGCCACACCTTCTTGCTGCTATTTCTTTACACATAACGGAGTTCTCCTTCGCCCAATCTTACTCCTCCGTTCCATATCAGAAGTAAAAAAATAAAAAAAATAAAGTAAAAAACAATTACTCAAGACCAAGCATACAGGGCCTGCGATAGTAACCAATCCATCTGGTATCATGGTGCCAAAAGCCTACATCAAAGGAATTTATTTCCCCCTCCGCGAAACCACAACTTGACCGCTCCTCGCCGCACTGACCACACTCCCTCCACCCCCTCCCCCAATCCCCTTTTACAACTCAATCAAACTCTCCTCGACGGGCGGCCGTGAAGGTGTGGCTTGTTGGTAGGATGGATGCGCACCAGGCACACCACCGGAGGCTTGGTAATCTCCTCCCGTTGGGGTGGGATGTGTGGGTACGCCTGTCGGATATCCTGAGTAGGGCGCAGTGCCGAGGGGAGGCTGCTGTTGACTATAGAACGATGATCCCGACGGGTCCGAAGGTGGTTGCTGCAGTGCCGGTTGACCGCCAGGTTGCATCGAATTAGGATCCGGGGAGAAGTGCGAATAAGCGGGGGCCGACACTGGGTCAGCCGGGAGTGGTTGATCCGCGGCGCTCGGGGCGCTCGGGGCCGATGGTTGATAGTGAGAGTCGTGTCGCAGCACGGGCGACGGTTGATAAGGCGCGTCCGCTTCCCCATGCCGCGCTTGCTGGTAGGGGTTCGGGTCCTGTTCGGGGTGAGGTGGAGGTGCATAATATTGCGTGGGTGGCGCATAGGCCGAAGGGTTGCTGGGAGGTGCATTGGCGCCCGCCATGGTAGGTGATGCCACCGCATGGGGCCCTCCATTCCACGGCGCGTTAGGCGACGTGGTCTGGGAGGGCTGTGGGTATAAACTCGGACTCATAGTTCTAGTGCGATCCCTTTCTAACGGAGGCTGCGAGTAGGGTGTGCCGGAAGGCTGGGGGGTTTCAGCAATATTGGGGTTTCCATAGTAATAGTTCTCGGTGCCTCCTTTACCCTCCATGGCAGGAGCGGGCATTGAGGGGTATATATTAGGGTAGGGTGAACTGCCAGGGATCGCTCCATAGCCCAAGTTATGCTGAGCGTAAGCGCTGGAAAGACGTTCTTCTAACATACGGTCATAGTAGCGAACGACTGTGGATAGCTTGGCATGTAAATCAAGAAGGGTATCTAGGGGCGCGCAACATCAGCTACCGGGGTCTGTCGTCCAGGAAGAACGGAATACATACCGTGCTTGCTCATAGTTTCCCCATAACTCCTGGCCAATTTGGGCCGGAGTGCTCCAATACTTTCATACAGCTCCTGGATCTGAGGTTCCCGTAGAATAGTGCCCGGCGGCTGGTGTTGCAGTCGATCAACGAGCGCAGCAAAAAGATGGATGTTCTCTACTTCCACGGGGCTAAGTTCGTAGGGATTCTTTGGGACTGGCACCATCTCTGAGCCCGAATGCGCTGGGGTATCAGCAACAGGGGCATTTTTCAGGGCGGCTGCGTGCTTCTGTTTATGTTGCTCCATATCCCGCAGGGATGCTTCAATAGCAGCCTTTAGATCGGCATCTTCCTCGTCATCTACACTCGGCTGACTGACGGGTTTGGGTGGTCCCGAAGCGATCGTACTCTGTGGAACGTAGCCACCCGAGCCTCTGTTTTGAGCTTCCTCGAGGCTCATTTGCAAAGCACGACGCAAGTCATCATCGAAACCTCCCTCTGCCCGTCCACCACGAGGCTCCATGACGCTCGACTTGGTGATCGAGTTGTTCTTGAACGCAGACCTATCGGAAAGTGCAGCGGATGAAAATGCCTTTGAAGTCAGTTTGGCGTAACACCCATCGTCTACTCGAACAGGCTGAAGGATGCCGAGATGTGGTAGAGGAAGCGTCTTGCTGGAACACTGCGCATCGAAGACATTGCCGCAGTTGCGACAATGGTGCTTGCGGTTCATGAAACTGAAGGCTGTGCGACAGCGCATGCAGACATCGGAGTCAATCCATTCCGGGGGCTTTTGAGCGGATCAATCGTGTTAGCTCGGGGCTGCCAACGCGAGCATGGGGTCAAGGCCAGCTCACCGCACTGCTTTCCAGCATACTACCACTAATTTGTGTCTTAGGTGGAAAGCGGAATCCCTCATCCTGTAGCCTTCGGTAGGTTTCGCCTACATAGCTGAGGTCCATTCGTCCTTGAGCTGCCATAGCCCAGTCTTGTATCAATTCCAACATCTTCGCCCTGACTTCTTCATTGAGTGGGACACCCTCGGTCTTGAGAAGAGAGACTAGGTTGTCCATGAATTCTCGGGATGCAATCTCCGCCAGGAAATGAGTACCGCCATTTTTCACACAGGTGTCTGTGAGCTGTAATGCATTAAACCATGAGATCAAAGCTAGGGCCAGGGTTGAGTGTGTCAAGGAGAAGGGAAAGTGTCTTGCTGCTCACCTTCAAGGTCGCCAGTTGAATATTCGGATTCTTATTTTCCAGTCGTCGCTTCAAAGATCTCATCGCCTCCTTTGGCTGGACACTCTTCGATCTTATCAAGTCAGAGATCTCGAGATTAAGGGCAATATCTTCCCTATTCGCGTGTTAGTGGCCCGTAGCATGTGATTGACCACATTTTGATAGACAACATGCTGAGAGGGTGAAATTAACATACAAAGAAGACGCGGTCGCCTTCTCCACCTGCTCATCGAGCGATGAAGTGGATGAAAACCACCCCGCCATGTTTTGAGAGTGCGCGATTGACGATCTGCCGGGGACGGGGACGGAGTTCCCAGGTGGCTATGACGTTGGGCAGCAGCAACAGATGGGGGCTGGGGGCAGGAGCGGAAGGTGAATGAAATTTGAAAAGAGGTCGCGAGCGTAAGTTGACGATTGGTAAAGGGAGGCTGATAAGACAAGGCGATCAAGGCAGCAAGAGAGACATGACAAGCTCCAGGCAGATCAGATTCATTTGATGACTGTTGAGGGGGAGGTGGGTGTGGATGTGTAAGGTAAGGTGTAAACTGGGGGTAATCAACCTTAGGTACTACCAGGTTTAGTTACCTAGGTAGGTACCTAAGGTAGTTAGTGTACCTTGAGACAAGCATTTGACGGCCCTCATTGGCAGTAACGATGAGTCAGCGGGTTCAAGAGCCTCAGGCCAGCAACAATACTGTACTTCGTACCATAACAAGTGGCGTCATAACCCACTGACACCTGGGGCGGCACTGTGGGCGGTGAGACGGGCAATATTCCTCCGCATCGAATACCCATAACTTAGTGGCATACTTACATACACTCATCATACAACATCCCGCAATCCGGCTGCCTTTGACCACCTTGTTTGTCTCCCCTCTCTGCCCCGCGCAATCCATTCTCCTCCACCTTCTTTATAATAGGCCTCATCTTGCGCGCTAGATTCTCGGCTCTATCTCTCTCTTTCTTTTTCTCTTTTTCCACAAGTGAGGTCATTCTTTCATTCTCTGCCGGTTGGCCACCTGTCGTGGGACACCCCTCCGATCTGCTTCCGCTCTGAGCCACTTTCGAACCACTACCGAGCCATCCCCGCCTTAGCTTTAACATCGTCCAGGTCATGTATTGAGACTTCTTCTTCCTTGATCGTCGCCTTGTATCATGTCCTCGGATGCAGCGGCGTTCCCCTCTCCACCGGACTTTGCGCCGTGGGATAATGCCAGTCGTCCTCGGTCTCTCGGGGCCATGCCGACAAGCGGGCGGCCAACCGGAGTGGCACCGCAGAGCGCTCTGGCAAGTCAACCGCCAGTGTTTCCCAACATAAAGGACCTACAGGATGAAGCGGCAGCTTTGGATGTCAATGAGAATGCCTCGGTATGTTCGAGGTGCTCATGCAGCGTCCCTCCGGACGCGTTCACAGTTAATGCTAATTGGAGTCTTTCTAGCTCAGTGTTCTACTTGAGCGAGCGCAAGTGGCTATAAACCAAGCCCGTGAGCTTTCCGATAGCGACCAACTAGACCGAGCCTATGTGCAGTACCTTCGTGCCTCCGAGATCACCATCAACATCATTCCACATCATCCCGATTATCGTGCGACTGCCAGCCAACGACCGGCATGGTTCAAAAGATTTGCCGAACTAATGATGGTAGGTTGTTGCATGTTGACACGAGAAATATTCTCTGCACTGTAGAGTGAGTCGTGCAGTCCGGGGCTAACCAACTGCAGGCCGTGCGGACGAAGCAAGGCACGATGGATGATATCAAACAACAAATCGTGGAGAACAACCTAATGACAAATGTACAACCAGTGGGATCGCCGCAATCGCATTCAAATCGGCCCAAGTCAGAAATCTTGACGAGCAGTACCTCTTCTCTGAACAATTCCGCGCAGATGCCGATTCTGTCGCATCATCAACAAGATTTCGAACTACAGACGAACAAGAACCGGTACTCGAGTCCACCAACGGATGCACTTGCTCAAAGGTTTGCGAAGCTTAAAATGTCACCACCTTCTGATAGCACCAACTTAGACTCTGCGCGAAATGGCATGAAAGGGTTAGAGCCTGCACCACAAGACTATCAATGCCAATCGCCGGCTCAAGCGCCATTACAGAGCTCGGCTTTGAGTTCTCCGACGAGAAAGCCTCTAGGACCCCGCAGCATGGGATCCCCTCACAGCATCCCTGCTCTACCCCCAAAGGTTCCTCTCAACACATCTCTTCCGCGAGCGCCCGACCCAGCCTATAGTCCAATTTGGACTGTGCCGTCACAGGGGCCTCCAAACCCGCCACGGACCTCGACAGAAAGTTCTCGTCCAGTCAACCCACGATACTCGCAGCTCGCGAATTCACCTCACGGAAGTCCCAGCCGGAACGGGTTCGATGACAATCCTTACAGGTCAAGGACACCGAATGGTGTCCATCAGATAAAGGAGGTCCGGAGCAGTAGTTCTGATCTACCGCACAGCACTACGATCACACCGACGGACCTCATTGATTACCTTCGCAAATATAATATCCTGTTGATTGATGTGAGGCCCCGGGATCAATATGATAGTGGACACATCTATGCTTCTTCGATCATATGTGTTGAGCCAGTGGTATTGAAGGAGAACGTATCCGCGGAAGAGCTAGAAGAGCGCCTTGTGGTATCGCCGGAGTATGAGCAATCCTTGTTCGAGCGACGGAACGAGTTTGACATGGTGGTTTATTATGACCAGAGAACGGCTTCGGTCAGTTATCTTGCTGGCTCTCCAGTTGGCACGACGGCTCCCCATCTTCGAGCGCTGTACGACACGCTCTATGAGTTCAACGCCTATAAACCTCTGAAGGATGGTCGGCCGCCAGCACTACTGCTCGGCGGCCTCGATGCATGGGTTGATCTCCTTGGCCAACAATCGCTTGCTACATCATCTACTGCTGCTGTGATGGGATCCTTGCAGGCAAAACGACCACTACGAAGGCCTGGGCGACCACTTGGAAGAGTGCCCACCATGGTCAGCGCTAACTCCAGCTTAGAGGTCAGGAAACGACGACTGCGCGAATACAAACCTCTGAACAACCAGGAACTCACCGAGTGGATGGAAAAGTCTAAGACTGAGGAAATCGATACCAGTACCTATGTGGAAGAAGATGAAGAAGCATTGACGGAGGACCATGAAGAAGAAAAGGCCCCTGCCTCACCCTTTGTCCAAAATTATGAAGATTTCCTACGCCGCTTTCCCGAGCCCGGTGTAATCCAGCAGTCAATGGTGGCGCCACACATCCGACCAGCGGGTACAGCTGCTCCCAATTATGCTGCACCCATGCCTGTCGCTCCTTCGCGGCCGCCTCCGGCAGTTCCCCGACCCAGCTATAGTGGTGTTGCCGACAGCCGGCATATCCAGCCTACTCTTGAGCGGCAGAGTTCAGCCACGAAAACGGCCCTCTACACGCCCCTATCTATGTTGAGCCGGCTTAAGCTGCCCCGGACGGGGTTGACTAACTTTGGGGTGACCTGTTACATGAATTCTACTCTCCAGTGCTTGAGCGCGACTTTGCTGCTAAGCAAGTTCTTCATTGACAATCGGTTTCGTTACTATGTTCAGAAGAATTGGAAAGGGTCCCAGGGCGTCATGCCGGGGCTTTTTGCGAACCTGATCCGGTCGTTGTGGAAGAACGATGTCGAAGTCATCATGCCGACCTCATTCCGGAACTTCTGCGGGCGGTTGAATCAGGAGTGGGCGATTGATCGCCAGCAAGATGCCAAGGAATTCTTCGACTTTGTGGTGGACTGCCTGCATGAGGACCTCAATATCAATTGGCAGCGTAACCAGCTCCGGCCTCTCACGTTCGAGGAAGAGATGCAGCGGGAGCGGATGCCAGTCCCTAAGGTGTCTAAAATCGAGTGGGATCGGTATTGTCATCGCGAGGAGTCCTTCATCTCCTCGCTCTTCGCCGGTCAACATGCGAGTCGGCTGCGCTGCACCACCTGCAAGCGGACCTCGACCACGTATGAGGCCTTCTACAGCATCAGCGTGGAAATTCCTCCATCTGGCACGGGAGACATCTACCAGTGTCTTCGTAGTTATTGCCAGGAGGAATTGCTGAGCGGCGACGAGGTGTGGAAATGCCCGTACTGCAAGTGTGAGCGCGTTGCGACCAAGCAGATCATCATCACGCGGGCACCTCAGATCCTGGTGATCCACTTCAAGCGGTTCTCAGCATCCAAGACGCAGAGTGCACGGAAGATCCACACCCCGATCGACTTCCCGCTGCATGGGCTGCGGATGGATGATTTCGTGTTCTCTGCGCCGACTCCGACCTCCCTTCCGAACGGTTCATCGGCGACGACCCCCTCGGAGACGACGAACGCCACGGCCCCTCCCTTCACGTACGATGCATACGGCGTGCTGCGGCACATTGGATCGTCGATGGGCAGCGGGCATTATATCTCTCTGGTGCGCGATGCGCAGCGACAATGCTGGCGGAAATTTGACGATGAGCGGGTGACGGACTTCAACCCGCGCGATCTGCGACCCAAGGAGCGGTTGCAGAATGAGCAAGCTTACATTGTATTTTATGAGCGAGTGCCTGCCAAATGAGAGGTTTGGCAAGCAGTTGTTGTGTGATTTTGTTGAGATACTGCATTTCCCCATCTCCGGCAAGCTTTATTTCTGACCTTTGTGTTACTGGGCCAGTCTGTGGGTGGCCTGGATTGCCCTCCGAAACGACCGGGAATCCGATTGGCATGATATAACTACAACATTTACTGCATCTTTCCATTTTCTTTGGCTGGAATGTTTCTGGCAAAGATACGACTGCATGATGACGGGATGGATGAATTGTTAGCATGTGACGAACTATACCTTTTGTTCCCCTTTTCAGTTTTTGTGGTTTAGTCAGTTTAGAACTGTTGTACAGCATGGATGCATGGATATTGAATAGGTAGCGTGATATATATTCAGCGAGCATAAATGATGACTGTTTCCTTTCAGCCTCGGATGAATCTCCGACGGAATCCGAACCCCGAATAAAGTGATAGACAGCGGGCGGAGTGAGTGAGCTTACTATGCCGCGGACTTTGTGTCTTCAATTTGACATTTGTAGACTAATGTCACTATCTCCGCCTGGCCAGGAGGAATTTTCCATGCAAGGCAGTCATAGAAGGCCATGGAAGGTTGTCCAAAGGAGTAGGCAATTCCGCCCTTTTGTTCCGCTCAGTGGGTGGTCCCTCTCTGGTAAATCCCGATGGGGCTTCCCGGGGCAGTGGCGGGCAATGGGCCAACTGGGGTCTGGCCGATCGTTCCCCGAGGTTAACGGCGGATTAAACTGGTTCACGGCTATCGAGGGCGGGGGGTTGGTGACTTTTTTTAAGTCTAAAGTGCATTATGCATAATTTGTCTACTGTATTCTCTCAGATGATACTCCTGTACATCCATACAATTTCTTTACCTAGATAGGTGTAGTTATCCACCACAAATACCAGTCCAGATAATCAGTCTTAACTAGAGTCTACCTAACTACAATCTGGCTGGCTGTCAGATCAGGTGGTGAAGATTCACTATCTCCGGTAACCCCTACTTGACTAGTATGTCTGGTGGGTATGAGTATCACTGCATTCCTCGCTGAGCATCGCGGAGTATATGCTGTGTACAAGCAGACTCAAGGGCTCCTTCACCGATGTTTGACACGCTTCAGAGCTGCAGATACTTACTCGTACGGTGTAGATTGTCGGGTGTGTTGGCGGTACTCCGAGTACACAGTATTTACAGCACCCACACCCTTTTGGTTAGGAGGTACGGAGTATCAGGCAAAGTTTGCCTAATCGGGGCTAGTGCACTGTGTGCGCTGACTAACACGGGAATAAGCGTGTGGTGATTGGTGTAGAACAATCAGTTCCTATCAGGCCACTTTTCAGGATTGCTGTGACTCGAGGCAAGTAGAGATGGGAATTCCGTAGGGTAAAGGAACTGAAGAAGTACTAGGAAGTAGAGGGAGGAGGTATTAGTGATGACCCCAATCGATAACCGTAGCAATAAAGCCGACGGACCCATAACCGAGCCCCTCGTGTGGTCCGGCTTGACTCCACGGGAATCAACAGTCGCGGCCTGAGGAATCAACTCCTTCCTGATCGACCGCCGAAAAGTGACTGACGGCCGGTCTGTTTGATGATTACTAGTAGTTTTATTATTATTATCTCTCTTCCCTTTCCTCTTTCTCCTCCTCCTCCTCTTCCTCTTCTCTCACACCCTCACTCGCACTCTTCTCTCCCTTCGTCGCCTGTCTACTGCTGCGCCTGCGTCCGATCTTGCTGTTGCTCCGGTCTCTTCTGTCCTGGTGAGTCCTGATCACTGTTCTCTCCTATTCTCCAGCCCTCTAGCCCGTTCAACCCCCATATCTCGACTCTCGAGAGCAGCGCAAATCCGAGTGATACAAGAAAATCCACGGGTGTAGCGTGTACCCTCACCCTCAGAGCAAGCGCATTCGCTCACTTTCGCGCGAAATCTCTCCCTGCATCTCCTCTCTCCCTCTCCCTCCTCCTTGCTTACTAGTATTCGCTCAACCCCATCACTTGTCTCAACTCCCCAACCCCCAACTCCCCCTCCCAATCACCGAATCAGACCAAACGACGACCACAATCAGGACCACAATCGCAACTAACTCCTTCCTTCACCAACCTCCAGCACTACCACCACCACCACAATCACCACCCGAAAACAAACCATCACAATGTCCGACGTCAAGGAATTCACCCTCGCCGAGGTCACCGCCCACAACACCAAGAAGGACCTGTACATGGTTATCCACGACAAGGTCTACGACTGCTCTTCTTTCGTCGATGAGCACCCGTGCGTGTCCCAGCCCTGGACCCCTGCCTCCCCCCCGGGGTAATTAGCCGGAACAAACCCAATAAAAACTAATGCACAAAAACAGTGGTGGTGAAGAAGTCCTCCTCGACGTCGCCGGCCAGGACGGCACCGAAGCCTTCGAGGATGTCGGTCACAGCGACGAAGCCCGGGAGATTCTGGATGGTCTGTTTGTTGGAAATGTGAAGCGTCAGGTGTGTTAGCCCCAGCCAGCCAGTCAGTCCCAAACATGCACAAAACCACTTGGCTAACCCCAAAAAAAGCCCGGTGACCCCGCCCCCCGCGCTCAATCCAAGCCCGCCGCCTCTAGCCCTTCCGGTGACGCCGCCGGTCTGGGTGTCGGTCTGTACGCCTTCCTCGTGGTCGGTGGATTGATCGCCTACGGTGCCTACCAATATCTGCAGAAGGCTTCGGAGACGCAGCAGTAGTTTGTGTTGTGGGTGTGCTGGGTATAATGTTTTTTATCATCATGTCATGAGCTTTGGGGGTTTTCAACTCTTTTTTTTTTTTTTTTATGTCTTCGTGGTTCGATTTTTTTTTTCTTTACGTTTTTCTTTTCTTCAATCACTTATCGTATATTCTTAATTTCTTGGAAAGAAGAAGCAGAAGATGAAGAAAAAGAAGAAGAAGAAGGAGAAGATCCCCTGTGCGTTTTGTCTTTCTATTGCAGTAATAGATCGGGTTGTTTTTTGAGTGAATTTATGCTCTGTCTGCTTCGCGGCAGTGGAGAGTCAAAGGACATTGGGCAGGTGAGTGGGTTGGTATTCTGGTTGGAGGTGGAGGTGTAGTGGAATATGTATGTGGACATGGAAAGGGGTATGGCGAGATGGTTGATATTCATAGCATCTTCCCGCAAGAAGCCATGTGCAAATTTTAACAGATATACTTCCTACGTCAACTTAAATCTGCCTACAATGTGAGATATCCAGTGACCACTAGGATTTCTAGGCTGTATGAGAGTAGGGTAAATAGGAGTGAAGAGTAAACAGGCCAGCTCATGCATAGGTCGTGGCAGATAGATAGAGAAGGTGACAAAATCCAATCGTCTCTCCCAAAGGTGCTCACGGAATCTCTTCCACGTTGATCGTAACAGTCTTCTTTTTATAAACATAGCAAGACAAATATAGAAAGGTAAGGTAAGAAAAGTTGATGGTAACAAGGGCAGGAGGAGTATTCAATGAGAGGAGGGGGGGGAGGGGGGGGGGCCGGATCGTGATAGAAATCGGATGGATGAGTAGAATTATTTCCAAAACCTGTCCACGTTCAGAGGGCGCCGATTCTTGCCTCGTCTACCGCGAGTTACCGCTAGTGCCGGCACGGACAGCCTCCAGGATCATGTCCTTGGCTTCTTCCAGACCTTCCTTGCTGCCCTTGATCTCGATCGCCTCGCCCTTGGCCTGGCCCTTGGGCACGTTGATCCGGCATCCCGTTTGCTTGCGGATCGCGTTGATCTGGCTGCCACCCTGACCCACCACGAACCGGTAGGTTCTGGGATCGGGCAGGATCAGGTAACCAGTCGCTGACTGCTGCGAGGCGTTGGCAATGGCCTTCTCCAGAGCCGACTTGGCCTTAGCGACGTTGTCGCTGGTACCGGCGAGCACCCACGGGATGGTCGTGGGTTCCGAGGGATCGGCGGGCGCGGGGCTGTTGTCGACAACCTTCCACGAGTGGACCTCAGCGGCATCGGTGGGCTCATCCGTGATCAGGGGCAGCGACGAGGCGCCGTTGACCTCGCCCCGAGAGTCCTCCGAGGCAGGCTTGGCAGGCACCTGCTGGCCAGCGTGATCGACGGTGACACGGTAATCGTTCCGAAGGCGGCGGAAGAACGAGCCATTGTCGGCAATCACATGATGAAGGTGGCGGGGCACCTCAACGGTCTCACCCTGCTGGTCCTTGAGCATCCCGCTGATGTGCTCCTTGGCCTCGGCAACGGCTTGGCTGGGTCCCTTAAGCTTGATCTCAGTGCGACCAGAGCCCTGCTTGGGAATGTCCAGAGTGATGTTAAACTTGGACTCGATGTTGCGTCTGGTATCACCACCACGGCCAATAAGGAGACGGTGCTGAATGGTGGGAACATCCAGAGTGACAGTCACCTGATCCGCACGCTCCTTCACAAACTCTTCGATGGCGGCAATGATCTTGTCGACGACCTGCTCGTTTCCTTCCAGCTTGATAGTAGACTCGGCGCTGTCGGGACGGGGGAACTTAACGAGACGAGAAGCACTTCCATCGGTGGGGCCGCCAGCGTCAGCAACAATCTTACGGATATTGGCACCTGCTCCTGATTAGCGGAATTGATCAACTAGCGTGCGAGAATCATCCTACCTCCACTGCCGATGAGGGACTTGTGGTACTTCTTGTCCACATCGATGGTCTTGGTGACGATGGAATCGAACTCGCCAGATCGTTGAAGCAGGGTCTTCTTGGCTTCTTCGACCTGCTGCTTGGTACCCCGGATCTTAATCTGCACGCGGCCCGACTCGTCCGGCGCATCGTTGACGCCCGGGACGTCAATCTGGGCACCGGTGTCGGCGCGGAGCTTGTCCATCTCGCGACCGCGCTGTCCAATCAAGGAGGGAATCTGGGCCTGCGCTACGGACACTGTCGCGGTGTGGGAGTGGTCGACAACCCACTGCAACAAGCTTAAGATCTCGTCGCGTGCCGCATCAGCCCCCTTGCTAGGACCCTTGATGATGACCTCGTCCGCAGCCTGCTGAGACCGGTTCGGGCGCGAGCCACCAGCTTCGCTGGAGGTATCCTGGTCGTCAGTGGCAGCTCGGGGGAACTGGACACGGACGGAGTAACGGTCCTGAAGTCTATTGACCTGGCTACCCTTCTGCCCAATGAGCTCACGGTGATACTGGGCGGGAATCTTCAAAGTGTGAGTCGTCTCATCCTCCAACTTCTTTCCGAGGTTGATAATTCGGGTCTTGGCGGCATCAGCCTTGGCCTTGGGTCCCTTGACTTCAACCTTGCCGTTCTCGACCTTGATGTCCACATCGAATTCCTCACGGAGTTTGTTAATGTTCTCACCCTTCTTGCCAATGAGGAAGTTAGCAAACTTCTGGGGAAAGTCGAACGTCGTGGTGTATCCTCTCTCAAGATCATCTTTTTCCTGCTCAACAACAAACGCCTGAATCTTGGAGACCAGATCGTCGACGAGGCTGGAGGGGCCACGAAGAGCAACCTCGGCCTCTTTCTGGCTAGATCCATCACCAACAATGGCACGAACAGGGATCTCATCCTCGCTTTTAGATTGCTGTTCGCGAGCGATGAACTTGCGAACCTTGTCCTGGTACTTGCCCGGAACGTTTACGGTTTTGGTGACGACCTCCTTCTGGTCACCGAGAGCGCTCAAAAGGTAATCCTGAGCTTCCTGAAGGACCTTCTCGAAGGTGGCGATTTCTGCGGGAGAGGGTCTTTGTCTCGGGATCTCGAAGTGGCCAGCGTTAGCAGAAGGACCCTCGTAAACCATGAACACATCTGAGCTATCAATGTCCTCGGGCACCAGGAGGTGGACACCATAGTCGCTCTGAAGCTTAGGGATAGTGCGAGACTCCAAGTACGGGTGGTAGTAAGGATCAACGTTGACGGCGCGAATTCTCGTCGGGGGGTGCGCTTGAACGAGGTTCATGATGTCGGAGCGCGCACGGATGGTGTTCTTGCCGTCTCGAGAGTACACTTCCCAAGTAACCGGACCATCAGAACTGGGTGGCAGCGCAATGCGAGCATCGTACAGATTCTCCAGCTCCTTGATGATCTGGCGTTGTCTAAGATAGCGAGTCAGGGCACGGGCGTGGGCGTGGGATCCAGCAGGCGCATTAGGGTGTTGGCGGGAGAGGTCAATGCTTGCCATCTGCATGCTGGTCGCGAGATCCATGGCCCGGTTGATACCGTTCTCGATGCAGTCGACAGGTCCCGTAATGGCAAGGAACTCGCTGTCATCGGAGTCAGGAGGCAGGACAATGGCGCAACCCGTATCGGCAAGGAACTCATGCAGAGCATCAGCATTGTCACCGAGGATGAATTGATGCTGGCCGCGGTTGATGGCGAGTTGGCGCAGAGTCAGCTGACGCTGCAGCTCGGCAGCGAGTCTCTCAATCTCAGCACGAGCCTCCTGGGCCGCAGTGCGCTCACCAGAGATGTGAATGTGTCGATCGGGAACAGGAGCGAATCGAACATGACCCGGGTCGGCCTCCTGGGGGGGAGGCTGGCTCTGCCAGGTGTCGTACCGCGGAATGTGGACTTGTGCCTTAGTGCGCTCCTCGATCTCCTTGAGCTGCGCATTGTAAGCACCCGCGATGAAGGGGAAGAACTCGGGCGGAATGGTCTTCAGGCGCAAGCTCATGTTCGAGGCTCTCTCCCGAACGATGGCCTCAATTTCACGACGAGCCATTTCTGCGGCAACAGCGTCACCCTCGATCAACACATCAATGGTGTCATCGTCGTCGAAATCCTCGCTAGGAGCAGAGTCGTCTGCACGCGGAACCTGGACACGCGCTCCTGTGCGTTGCTGAAGATCCTGGACAACAGCTCCTTGACGACCGATGATATGAGGGCGGGCGGAAGTGGGGATGGGAACGCGGACGGATTGCTAGAGAAACATGTCAATTTCTCCATATGGTTTGATGAGCGCCATGATCGACCAACCTTCGACCCAACTTGCTGAGCAACCTCCTTCAGCGCCTGTCTGACAGCCTCTGCGGAGCCTTTACCCTCGAAGATGATGGAGCCTCCAGGTCCTCCGCGCATATCAACATTGGCCTTGGAACGCCGGGAAATGTCGCGCAGAATGTCGCGCAGGGGCTTCTTCATTTGTCCGCGGGGGAGCATCTGCGAAGGTGCTAGCCGAAGCTGCTCCATGTGCTTTCCGGGCAGACTCATGATCCTCGGGACGTCGAAGGCTATTTTCACGGCAGTATCAGCAGCGATGATCGGAGAACCAGCTAAAACTGGCGATTGCGCACATACCTGCTTGTGCACCACTGGCGCCGTTGGCGACAGCCGCGGCGGAAGGACCGCGGGCACCCCAGGCCGAGACAGCGGGAGTCTTGGGCTTCGGTCCACTTCCAAGAGCGGGGAACAATTCCTCGGACTGCACGTCGAAAGCGGGAGATTTCTTAGGAGCAGCCTTGGGGATGGCAGGAGTGGGAGCTTGGGAAGAAGCAGCGGAGTCGGAAGTCTCAGCTGCGGCCGATGGGGGAGGGTGCTTGAGATCTTCCTCATCCACCACATCCTCCACGGTCACTTTGTGTGCCTCATCGCGAGCGTGCTGCTCCTCCAACATAGCGGCTCGGGACTTGGTGCCACCATTGACGTCGACTGCGACTGCTTCGGAAGCCATTGTAGCAGGACGACTCGGACTAGAGAGAAATGACCCGGGGAGAGTGGTATGCGATTGGGCGGAGTAAAAGATCCAGACGGACACTGGCAGGTAATCACGTTAGCATACTGTGGGGGGGAGCCAATGGAGAGAGGGTCAGATCATACCAGCTATACGCAGGCGTCCGTGTAATTATAATTGGTTGCTGACAACGGGAGAGAGGAAAGGACTGATTGTTTTGACCACACCGATTCCTGGAACGCAAGAGCCAAAAAGGAGCAGTCGAGAAGCGAACAAAGTCAATTGCTATCTGCTGGTGCTAAAAGCTGGAGAAACGATAAATCAAGTCAAGAGCGCAGGCGCTATTGCATCCCAAGGGTGTAGAAATGAGGGGGAGAAAGATGTCTTTCGGAAGAAAACGTGGGAAAGCGGGATACGAGAATAGGATGAATAGCGGGGGGTGGAGGGGGAGAGGGATTGGAAGAGGGAGGGAGAGAGGAAGGGAGGGAGGTGAGGTGAATTGAAAGGGAGGAGAAGGAGAAGGTCAACGAATTGACACAAGAGTGAGGGTAAAGATGGGGGAGATTGTGGTGAGGATGTGAGATGCAAAAGGATAAAAGGGAAAAGAAGGAAATGGAAGCAAAGGTGGAAGGTCGGGAAAAGAGGACAGACAGACAGACAGACAGACAGACAGACAGAGGCCGGGGGAAGAAAGCCTGCCTGAGGAACGCACGACCACCTCATTATTCCTATTTTGGGAGATGGTCTGGATTGCCACCGCCCAGAGCCGCCTTTCTTTCTCTGCCTCTACTGTACTACCTTTCGTTACCTTCTCTTCTAACTCTCGACTACAACGCAATTAGTAGTTACTGGTAGAGAAATGTATCGCTGATACACATCTCATTCTATTGAACCTACATTTTCACAGTTCTTCGTTGTGAGTGACAGCTGACTCACACAGCACAACGTCATGCTGTACTATTGGAGGAGCATTATGCCCTGCCTAAACCGCAACGATGTGCTCATCCAAGGCCATCGGGCGGCGTACAATTTCTAGGCTCCTTGAGGCTGAAAGACTGACAGCAGGCTGACACATTCACTGTCTGGCCTGCTGGTTATCTATTGGATAGTCCGAAATGTTCAGAAATCTTGACCCCGTCACGCTTCTGTTCTGGTCAGAAAGAGGATTCCAGTCTATGCTTGGGGTCTCGGATGCTCATATCGACTGAGGCGGGTGACTTTTCTCGTATAGCGGCAAACTCTTCCGCACCTTTTGCATTGTAGGTGATGACAACCACGAGATGTTCAATCTACAGAGTATCTTCTCTGCCAAGCTGAGCACCGCGGGGGAATCCGATAACTCGGCTGCCGGTTTGAGTTACTGTTCGCTGCGGGAAATTCTGCCAAGACAAGCTTATCATGAGGTTGCACTGCTGTTTCTCCCGCTCCCCTCATTTTGCCTCCTCCGCTTCGAAGATGTCAGACGAAGCAGTCACTCCGGAGTAGGAGGTCAGACCGTCCGTCAAGCAGGATACTCCGGTGTATGATCGGAACTGAAGGCACAGTCAAGCCCAAGGAAGCTGGGAAAATGGAACTTCTCGACCCACTCACTGCGTGGTGCAAAGAGAGGGACGCATGGGTCGATGTGGATCGTAACCTTAAAACCCAGACGGGGAGACAGAATTCTGTCCGTCTCTTGTACCAACCTTCTGCCCCTTCCAGACTTTATTCCTCTTGTCTGACAGCTTCACCGTGTGAATGGATAGCCAGGACAAGAATGGCATCTCCCCACGTGCTGCTTAACCTAAATTTCCTACATTTGTAGAATCCAAGGTGGGCGGGAGCGAAAGTCGGACAGATTGATCGAAATGTCTTCTTATCGCCCACGAATATCATGAGATCCGCGGTTCTTCTGGTTCGAGGTTAGGCTGGGCCTTGAGGGGCAATTACTATCGCCAGCTGATAAGAGAAAAAAAAAATCCCTAAATCCCTGTCCGTCCCACAAATAACATTCCATTGTTCCTCGAAGGCAAAAGATAAAGCGTGCCTGGGAGTAGCCGACACGACCAAAACGGTCCCGTTCCTCGGTTAGCGCCGCGTGCGTTTTGCGCTCTCTTGAAGCCATAGACAGATTTCTCTTATTAATTTTCTCGGAATAAGCCGTGCTACAAATAGATGACGCCCTGGCGTTTTCTGGGGAAGGAAAAAAAAGTTTCTTTCCTTCTTCCTCTTGCTGTGAGCAATCAAACTGCCCCCCCGCCAAGCAGCAGTGGTTTAGCAGCAGCAAGCTTCCAACCATGGAGTACCCCAGCCTGGAAGAAGGACACAAGGTCGAGCCGAAGCTGTCCACAGCTGAGGTGGAGGCACAGCCTTTGGTCAAGCCTGCTGGCTTCTTCCCCAAAGTCCTCTACTATGAGGCGCTGTTGGATAAGAAGCTGGGGATCGAGTCCAACAGTATCGAGCGGGTCACGCCGGAGAAGAAGCAGCCCCCCAACAGTCTGGCCATGGCCTTGATCTGGGCGTCTGCCACCATGAACCTCAGTTGTTTCAGTACTGGGTTTCTGGGGTGGGAGTTTGGCCTCAGCTTGGGGCAGGTGATCCCCATCATCATCTGCGCGACACTTCTGGGCGGAGCTATCACGGTTCGCATGCCATTCTCTTGATATTGCCGGTCAAGAGTGCTTACATCCTTTCTCTTCCTTTAGGGCTGGTGTGCTACTCTGGGTCCTGGCACTGGTCTTCGCCAAGTTGCCATCTCCAGATACTCGCTGGGATTCTACCCGTCGTCCATCATTGCCGCCTTGAATGTGGTCGAACAGCTCGGATGGTCCTCGGTCAGTTGCATCACCGCCGGTCAAGCCCTGGTCGCCGTTGCAGACGGAAATATCTCCATCGTCGTGGGCGTCATCATCGTGGCCTGTCTCAGTCTGGCCATTGTCTTCTTTGGGCTCAAGGTGGTCATGAGTCTGGAGCAATGGGTGTGGTTGATCGCCTTTATTATCTTCATGATCGTCTACGGGCAATCCGGGACTCACGCCAATCTCGCCCAACCGGCCACCGTTTCCGGCATCACCCAGTCCGGACAAGTCCTGAGTCTACTCAGTGTCATCTACGGATCCAGTGCATCCTGGTCCTCCATTGTCTCGGATTTCTACGTCCACTACCCTGTCAACACCTCGCGCGTCAAGGTCTTCTTCTTCACGACTCTGGGGATCTCCCTTCCGACCTGCATCGGCCTGTTGCTTGGCGCATGCATCGCCTCCGCCCTGGACACGAACCCGGAATGGTCTGAAGCCTACGACGGCGGCATCGGCTACATGCTGCAGGAGTTGATCCATCCGAAGAAGTTTGCCAAATTCTGCCTCGTCCTGATGGTGCTAGCGAACGGTCAGCCTCTCATCTCCTCCTTAGCATAACCTCCCCACGACCGTCCATACTGACTTTTCCCAATCCAGTCGGCATGAATTGCATCAACATCTACGCCGCCTCCATTTCCGCGCAGTTATTCGCCCCGCCCTTCCGCAAGGTGCCACGCACGATCTGGACGGTGATCGTATTCGGCTGCATCATCGCGATCGGCATCGCGGGTCGCGACCACTTGCTGACGGTGCTGAACAACTTCCTCTCGTTGCTCGGCTACTGGAACACCTCCTTCTTCGTCATCCTGTTCTGCGAGCACTACCTGTTCCGCGGCGGCAGTCTCGCCAACTACGACCTCGACGCCTGGGATACTCCCTCCCGCATGCCCGTCGGCTTCGCCGGTCTGACTTCCTTCCTCTGCGGCGCGGCCGGCTGGATCGTCGGCATGGACGAAACCTACTACGTCGGTGCGATGGCGAAGCTGATCGGCGAGGACGGCGGTGATATCGCCAACGAGCTGGCGCTGGTCTTTACCACGATCTCTTTTATCCCGTTGAGATGGCTCGAACTGAAATATGTGGGCCGGTGAAGGAAGCGTTTGATGAAGTTTTGTTTACTGGAAGAGATTCCCCGCTTTTATATAGCATATCGCATATCGCATGTCGCATATATCTAGACATAACGAACGATACGGCGCCTGAAACTATGGCGTTTTTGGACATCTTAATTTAATGGAGCACCTGTACTATACATTAATCGATTGTTTGATTGACAGCAGTGTTGATCATGCAACAGACCCTCTGTCTCAGACGACAACCACTAATCAAATTCAACAGCCAGGGGTGAAACACGAACCATGAATCCGTCCTCGATGCACTGTATGTCGTGGATACCGTAGGTAGTGCACCTTACATCGCTGTACCCAACCTTATCCCCCTCACTTTCTAGGCACGTAAGCCGTCCGTCCATCCGTCCGCTCGGACCGGCAGTTCTACCCGCGGTGGCGAGTGTGTCTGAAGCCTGAATCTACATCTCTACACCCAACAAGCAAGAGTCGGAAGTCAATCCCCTCCCCGTCCCCATTCGAGAACAAGGTCGATCGATCAATCGCGGACAGAAGTAGAATTGCCCTCGGGGGCATCACCAATGATACGTATCTCAGTCACACGGTGTCTTTCCTGACGGGCTGGGGGCGGTCTACATTACCAAAATTGTCTAGTGTGAAATCAATTCGTGGTTCGAGACAGTCTCAAGCAGGGCGGTGATGCCGATGCTGTTGGAGTGTATCGGGATAGTCATACTATACAGCGGAGCATGGCGTTGCACCACCAGCAGCAGTGGCCGCAAACAGGATACCATAACTCTAGTAGACCCGTGTGAACGAAATCCCAAACCAGGTTGAGCGATTGACAGCGTCAATCACGACGACATCCGGGACTGACGATCTTCATCTCAGTGGCCCCCTCCGTGGGATTGGATTGAGGATGTACCGGGCCGAGCCCTTGACGTTACCCACTCGGGTGTGTAGATCGAGGAGGTTTTCCGATTTGTGGTCCAGGGCGGTTGATGAGACATTATGCAATTGCCAGTCTACGGTTTTGCTCGGGTTGAAGGGGGGTTAGATCTGGGTTATGGAGGTTGATTGCGACTGCTCCATCGAGAGCTGTAGTTATGGTAGGCTGTCGGGGGTGCACGGAGCGGTCTATCGGCGCTTTAGATGCCGACCAAGCAGTTATGTATTAGAGTGGACAGGCTCCAGAGAATGTACTGTCTGGAACCTTACAGGTAAGTGAGTTAGTCTCTCAGTCTACAAATACTGACATCGTGTCATATGGCGTAGTTAGAGATACTGCCGGCATGGCACAACGCTTCCATTCCTAAGTAAGGAAAGCCGGATAGCAAAGAAACCCGTGATAGTTAACTTACAGTAAAAGGTCGAGACTCAAAATCCATATCTTATCAACAACCCCATTCCATCAGCCAGACCGGATATCAGAACGCTTCCAGCGGTTGGGCGGATTGCCACCTCAGCCACTGAAGCTTTCTTGGAATGGAAGTCTTCACACTGGCTATTTATACTTTCGAACGGTAACTAGTGAGGTCGACTTCGAAAGTTCAGGGTCTGTGTGGTCGGCTACCTGCTGCTGGGACCGTACTTTGTACTCCGTACTCCCGGGAGAGCACCATCGATATCTTACTACTAGTTACCACCGTAGATCGGAGGCCCGGGGCTGGGGCTGGGGCTGGGGCTAGACTGGCGTTAATCACCCATCACTAGATCTTGATCCGGCAGCAAGGCTGGCCGGCGCTATGATGTGATACTTCAGATTTGCAGGGAATAAATTGCATGCCGGATGGTGCAGGTTTATTAACATAAGTGCTGAAGTATACAGATGTGGTAAAACCTGTTCGGATTGGTCGAGAGTTCAGGGGTTTCAATGGAAAGGTACGGAGTATAAAGTACGGGACGGACACAAGTCAGTAACCACAGATCAGTGTTTAAAAAAAAAAAAAAAACAACGTGAATGTGCCCTTCGCATCTGTCGTCAAAGACCTAATACAATCACAGCTCCCATCCACCCCAGAGCACCGCACCCAAAAACAAGAAAATGGAAAGGAGGTTTGAGACGTCATTTTCTGCAGAAAAGGGAAAAAAAGGACGGGATTTGCCGGTCCCCGCCCGACCGAAGTTTAAATGAGGCTGGTCGATGATGGGTGAAATCAGCCAAGTTTCATATAGACTCCAGCCCCGTGATATATCGAAATGACAAGAGAGGAAGTAGGTGAGAGAGAGAGAGTGTGTGTGTGGGTGGGATATTATTACGGAGTACTATCGGGGGGGCGTGTCGCTAGTAGTAACTATACTACGATATCATCCGTTGACGCAACACACAGTAACTAACTACAACTTATGAAGTACGGAGGTCCACCCCCCTTTTGCATATGGAGACCTGCTAAGATCGTCCTATCGAACACTCTTCTACTGCTTCCATTGCTTCAGCCGCCTTTCCCTAGCAAGGGTTCTCGGGACATTTCTTCGTGGTTATATAGATGATCAGTCATATATGATCTGCCCTCAACCCACACCTTCACCCTCCTATTCCTTTGTTCACTCAGAAGATGAGGCTCACTGCATCAAGGGGCAACCACCGGAAACAGATGGGTGACTCTGGTCTGGGAGCAAGTCCTGTCTCCTGCAGGTGCAGGGGGAAAAAGGGTTGGTCGATGGGATTTTCAACTGGGCGTGTGTTGTGTTGTCCCAGGCTGGGGGGGATCGAGGCAATCCTCCCTCGGTTTCACGCACAGTACCTGCAGGCATCTCATCAACTCCTAGTGTGTACATGATTGCGGTCTCCGTCTTTCCCATGAAGTCATCCGCGTCCAAAAACATACTCCGATACCTGGTACTCCTAGTCGACCGACAAGCTCAACAATTGAAGGTGCTACTACGGGCGATGACGCTATGCTGTCTACCTTCCACTCAATAAATTAATACTATGTAATCTCGGCGCGGGCGTCCAGGTCGAAGGGGAAAAGGTATCCACTGCGGCATGGAACAATGATAGTTCTCGGGATTAAGAGAAGATTCATATTGGGCACACAATTTGGTTGGACTGGAAGAAGGACGGATGCCCCGCCGGCTTAGCGCGCCACTAACCGTTCCATATCCTTAGCTAAGTTACTTATGCTGCTGTTGTATTATTAGTTCGAGGCCGGGTATTATCCTCGCGATTCAATCAATCCCCCAGCAAACTTCCCACTGTTAACCTGTTCCCAGTAAATCGTCCCAGTCCGGGGCAGCTCAGACATTTCCTATCCTTTAATTGCGATGATGCTAATTTGCCATACGGCCAGACCCCCTTCTCACCCAGACGGGAAACATTCGAGACCTTCATCTTTTGTTCCATGAATCCGAGGACGCTATACCTACCCTCCTCGTCCAAAGTGACGGAAAGGAAGTGGAGTTGAACCAGAGAAAAAGGAAAAGGGAAAAGCATCAATCAGTTCGCGCTCCACACCCCAACCTGCAACTGGGGTCGACGGACGTGTCTAGATTTTTTTCCTCTGTTTCTCATTGCCCGTACTGTGTACATCTGAGACTGAGACACAGATGATGTGCGCTTTTTTACGAGGACAACAAAAGTCCCAGTACTGTAACTATGAAGTATGTACTGTACATCACTAACTACTCCGTCGTAGTGACTACATCCAGTTCCCCGTTATTATTCACCACCTCTCCGTATCCGGTGATTGATAGGAATATTCTCCCAGCACTTGAATTGGAGGGTGGAACATGAGTAACAACGAAATTCTGCCAGTTTGTCCTCCCCACGCGCTGGGATCAACTGGGTATGATTGGGAAGGTGACCGCCCGATAACGAAGCAGCAGCTCAGTATGTAGTAGTAGCCATTGCGGTAACTAAAGAATAATACAGAACGACCGGCCGTTTTAGCACTCGCTTCAATAATGGATCAATCGCTTGCTGCTCTCTCCACCTTCAATCTCTCTTCCCCCTCCACCCTCCCTCCCTCATTCCCTCCACCTCTCGCTCTTGAAT